TAGAACCATCTCTTAGGTTCGTAGCCTATAGGAAGTAAAAGGAGGTCCAAGGTCAGAGTACCCCTATAGACAAATTATGTCATAGACAAATTATGTCATAACTTAACCAATCTTGTGGGTAACTAAAGAGCGATGACATGTAATGAATCATAGAGGTTCGTAGGAGCTTTTAGAGCTATCGTTCATGCTCCTAGGCCTCTAGTTGGTAGAGATATGTCATGTGGTAGTATGAGTGATGTCATGTAATGAATCATAGAGGGTTGTAGAGATATGCTATGTGGTAATATCAGCCCAGTAACTAAGGAGCGATGACGTGTAATGAATCATAGATGGTTGTAGCAATCGTTGAGTAGTATTGCTCTTGTTGTTGGTGTGATAAGCCAAAATATGTATAGTGACTTGTAGGTTTGAGGAGGAGATTTCCAAGTTTGCTCTTGAGTTTGATAGCAAACTGAGTGCAACGAATGTCAGTATGACATCTAGGGGTATTCAAGACAATATCTACCTGCTTAAGACTTGTCGCTTTTAGATATGCAGCCAAATCGCCTCGCGATCTCCGTTGTCTCTTCTCTTGCTGTTACGAGCCTCATGTACCCCTTAAGACTATGTTTTCCTTTGTACTCCTCATTATTGTCCCTAATCTATAATTACCTATTAACAGAGGTCACCACCACGTAGAACCTCATCAACCTGCATAGAAATGATAACGACTTTTGTTCCGTCCCTAGGAGCTCTACCTAACATAAACCTCCCCTCGACTAACCAATAGGGTGGAAGGATGGCGCGACCTCGCTGTTATGGCTAAGTGCTAGTGCTATGGCTAGCGCTTACGGCTGCAATCTCACGTGATGGATAACATTGGATATCATGGATATTATGTTATCCATGTTATCCATGGGGATCCACGGAATATCAGGTGATGGATAACATTGGATATCATGGATATTATGTTATCCATGTTATCCACGGATATCCCTTTGGCACGACACCACTATATAAGTAGATAATATTTCCTTAGATAGGAGCTTCGTGCTCAACTCAATATAGTATTCTTTACAATACTGTAACGTGTTACTTGGAAAGCCTTTGTGTCTAATCCCCTGCCTCCTCTGTCAAGTCAACCTTATGCAAGAAACCTCTGTGTCTTCTATCGTTTAGAAGTCAGCGTTACACTCGCATTACTTTACTTCATCTAACTTCGCATCACTGCATATAACTTCACATTAGCTTGCATTACATCACCTTGCATCAGCCTTGTTAGAGTGATGCGAGATGAAGTGATGTGAGATGAAGAAAGGTGTGAAGTAAAAAAGCAATGCGAGCTACTCTATGGATACTTACTGTTTACTAACGCAGCAAGAGGCTTGATCCTTTAGACAGCCTCTTGCATTTTGGGCTGTCGGGCCTTCTTATGCTAGAGGTGGGCAGCCTTGTATGTAGGTATGTGCCCATCTTATATGTAGTCATAGAGAAATGCCTAGAATATGACAGCAAGGAATAAGTGATTTGCAATTGTCTTACTATAACAGCGATTATATATATGTTACTTGTCCACCTTACAATGATCCAAAAATTTTAACTTCTTCACTTGAGTTTCAGCTTTCCCAACTCTATTAGAAGACATTCTAAAAGATATAATTCCAACCATATATTATATTTAAATACTTACAGAACAATAGCGTTGCTAGCCTATTGCACCTCACAGTGTTACGACGGAACAAGAAGGCTGGCCAACTACAGGACAGGAAGGAGGGAGGTCGCATGTGTAATGGTGGGTGCACCAGATATGAGAATCTAGCCACCCAAGGAAGGGATGAATTTACTAAGACAACACACTGTCTTAGGAAACAGAGCCAAAGGGTTGTAGCTTAGACTATTCCACAACGCAGCAATCAGGTGTATGATGTGGTGAAGTGGTTTAGACAAGTTGCAACAAATGTTGAGTCTGAGAACTCAGGGGTAAGTCAGAGGTTAGCACCTCACTGACTTTTCAGAAACAAGGAGTAACAAGATGAATGCTTGGAAGCTTGGAAAAGACGTAGAAGTATGTGCTAGTCGATTTACTGTATTGTCTGCTTGCCCTTTCTTAAAGAAAGGGCAATCCTATTTATGCCAAAGGAGTGTAGTTCTCTCATTTTCCATGACTTTCCATGACTAACCAGGCTTGGTAAATGTATTAGAAATCAAGTGCGACCCACAACTAGCTTGCTAATCATGTAGTGAACGTAAGAGAATCCCATAGAACCATCTCTTGGGTTCCTAGCCTATAGGAAGTGAAAAGGAGGTCCAAGGTCAGAGTACCTATAGATAAATTATGTCATAACTTAACCAATCTTGTGGGTAACTAAGGAGCGATGACGTGTAATGAATCATAGAGGGTTGTAGAAGCTTCTAGAGCTATCGTTCATGTTCCTAGGCCTCTAGTTGGTAGATATATGCCATGTGGTAGTATTGGCCCACCCCCTTAAGGAGGAGATTTTCTTAATAACTTGTTCAATGAGTGTTCAAATGATATGCCGTGATGTATGTAGCATAAACAGATGTAGTAGAAGAGTTTGCAGCAATCGTTGAGTAGTATTGCTTCTGTTGTTGGTGTGATAAGCCAAGATATGTATGGTGACTTGTAGGTTTGAGGAGGAGATTTCTAAGTTTGCTCTTGAGTTTGATAGCAAACTGAGTGCAACGAATGTCAGTATGACAGCATGAGACCGGCCCTGGTACCTGGAGGGGCAGCGGGGAATAGTAGTTCCGAAAGTATCACGTGACGGACTCGCAGGATGATGAGAAGAGTCCTAAGAGTCCAGGACTCCGAGGACTCGAGTGAGTTCCCAGGAGTCCACTAGGCACGTGATGGACTCGCAGGATGATGAGAAGAGTCCTAAGAGTCCAGGACTCCGAGGACTCGAGTGAGTTCCCAAGAGTCCACTAGGCACGATGCCACTATATAAGTAGATAGTATTTCCTTAGATAGGAGCTTCGTGCTCAACTCAATACAGTATTTGTTATATACTAGTAACGTGTTACTTGAAGCCTTTGTGTCTGATCCCCTGCCTCCTCTGATAAGTAAACCTTTACGCAAGAGAACCTCTGTGTCTTCTATCGTTTAGAAGTCAGCGTTACACACAGTTTCTATTAGTGTTTAGCACAGATACTAATATACCCATAGTATCTGGGTATATCCTCAAGTATATACCTACCCTTTGATATTTGAAGAGTATCTGGCATATCGGGATACTCTAGAGTATATATCTAGATATATGCCAAAAGTAGCCAAGCGTAGCCAAGACCTCTTTTTACAAATGTCGTAAGACCTGTTTTGATGCTGTATATAGTAATAACTATCCTTAGAATGAGTGACTCATCTTTATTAGAGCTCGAGGGCTATAATAGCCATGATACTCATAATGAGCCAAGTTTGCTAACGCTACCTACCCCTATTTAACATATTGATCCTACACCGCTCTGGCTCTAGCCTCTAGGACGGATGCTGCCACCAACAATGTCAATACTATCACAAAGCTATTATATTCACGATTGATACTTGATAGTAATCCACCTATGGTTAAGATGACCTGCTTGTAACCAAATTGTGGATATTCACCTACTCCACAACTATTAAGTCAAACTTTGACTGGTAATCTTTAGAAGCACTATACCTAGAAGCATCTAACAGTAGCATATACAATGAAAAGTCATAAGAATACACCATTAAACCCATCGAGTAGTGCATCGTCGTTCTTTGAGCCACGGAACCAGCAAATCCAGCCTATTCAAGCATCAAATAGTAGAGCGAAATACAAAGAGTTATTACTCTCATTTGTTGTATCAAATAACCTCTCCTTATGACTTATTAAGAGCTATTCTTTCATCAATTAGTACAATTCTTAAGCCTAACTACTTTGTCAATCTCATTACCAATGCTATGCTAAGAGCTATAGCAGCAATTCTCACATTACCGAGGCTTATTACAAATAGAACTCTAGTCTCATATTACCCATGGCGGCTGGATATCTATCACAACAGATGCATGGACTGCACAAAACTATACAGAGTATGCTGCTGTTATAGGTCATTAGATTAATGTGAAGTGGCAGCACTATGTCATACTGACATTCATTGCACTCAGTTTGCTATCAAACTCAAGAGCAAACTTAGAAATCTCCTCCTCAAACCTACAAGTCACTATACATATTTTGGCTTGTCACACCAACAACAAGAGCAATACTACTCAATGATTGCTACAACCCTCTATGATTCATTACACGTCATTGCTCCTTAGTTACAGGGCCGATATGACCACATAGCATATCTCTACAACCCTCTATGATTCATTACATGACATCACTCCTTAGTTACTGGGCTAATACTACACATGACATATCTCTATCAACTAGAGGCCTAGGAACATGAACGATAGCTCCAAAAGCTTCTACAACCCTCTATGATTCATTACACGTCATCGCTCCTTAGTTACCCACAAGATTGGTTAAGTTATGACATAATTTGTCTATAGGGGTACTCTGACCTTGGACCTCCTTTCACTTCCTATAGGCTAGGAACCTAGGAGATGGTTCTATGGGATTCTCTTACGTCGACTACAGTTACCAAGCCTGGTTAGTCATGGAAAGTGTTGGAAAATGAGAGAACTACACTCCTTTAGCATAAATAGGATTGCCCTTTCCTTACGAAAGGGCAAGCAGACAATACAGTAAATCGACTATCACATACTTCCACGTCTTTTCCAAGCTTCCAAGCATTGATCTTGTTACTCCTTGTTTCTTGAGGTGCTAACCTCTGACTTATCCCTTATCCCTGAGTTCTCAGACTCAAAATTTGTTACAACTTGTCTAAACCACTCCACTATATCATACACCTGATTGCTGCGTTGTGGAATAGTCTAAGCTACAATCCTTTGGCTCTGTTTCCTAAGACACTGTGTTGTCTTAGTAAAATCATCCCTTGCTTGGGTGGCTAGATTCTCACATCTGGTGCACCCACCATTACACTCGGTATTCAGGGATCGCCCTCGACCTTAGGCTTCGTGGTACCCCAGCATGCGAAGTAGAGCTTACAGTAGTCATAACGCTTCGTTCGTCCGACCTAAGAGTGTGGGGAGAAGCCTCCTCTTGTCCTACACGCTCTAGGCGTTCCTGTAGTCGACGGATTCGCTCGCCCGCCTCTCTCAGCTCAAGTTCTCGCTGTAACTCAGCTTCGAGGCGAGGGCCGTAGCAAGCTGGGCTTCTACTCCAAGGGAGCTGTGAGCCTGGGATAAGGGGCTTGATGCCCCTGACTCCTCAGGTGCGTTCTCAAGTGCAGCCACTCCGCTACGCTCATGCTCAAGGCTCGCAGCCGCTTCCCTACGGGTCTGACGTGGCGGCATGGTTTTCCGCTTACTTGACTTCCCCCTCTGGGCTGTTCTTCCCAATCGTAGGAATTGTAAAGATGCCTCCATACCTAGATACTCGAAGAACCTGTCTCAGAACTGTTACGGTCACTACAAGCATGGAATCCGACTCGGTGGGGTTTCGAACCAGTAGAGGATCATATAGCGAGTTACACTATAGTGGGGGACGGTAAGTGTATAGGGTTCAGGGCCGATGCAGACCTGTTGCGGTGGAAGGTTCAGGGCCAATGCAGACCTGTTGCGGTGGAAGGTTCAGGGCTAGGGTTGGGATAACCGAGTCGGGCCCGTTTCGGGAGTTAAGGAAACAGACTCAACGGGGTTCCCCCTTCATCTTTTTTGTATCCTTCGTAGTAGACCTATAGGATAGCATCCGTTTAGCCTCCGACTCGCACTCTCATATGCTATTACTGTGAGCTGGGTGCCCTGTGTCCTTACAGGAATGGTGGAGCGTTCAGAATGTAAAAGAGCCTTGGCTGAACAGGGCAGTGGGAAGTCAGGTTGTAGATAGTTACGTAGTCAAGCTCTCTATTGATACGAAGACTGAACGCTGCCCTTCCGATTAAGGGCCGTGTTCCTACTAAATATGTTCTCGTGCGGGGTTCAGAGGCCCTCCGAACCCCTCCGCCTTGGCACTATAGCGCACGTGAAAGGTCCTTCACGTGAGGCTACTCGTGACATTGGCGGTGGATGCGTGAGCGTATAGTTGATGTAGGAACCTTAAAAATCCGACTAGCAGTAGTTGCAGTTTCAGAGGGGTTCTCTGCTAGCCATTCACAGGCATTTGATAGAGGAGTCCCTTCCATTAAATGAATCATAGATTTACTATATAAAATAGCATGTGTAGCTATGGTAGAAGTTTCATTATGGAGTGGTGGTGAACAGACGCATGTTACGACGGAGCGCACATTGCTTCCTCTCGCTTCGGGCGCGTTCACATTGCTTACTCCAACCTTGAGCGAAGCGAAAAGTTGGTCACGACGAATTAGCTCCCCTTCTACAGCTTATCTGCGTTCTGGATCGACATTTCCGTCCCTCTCCATACTACAGCGACGAACGCGGTCGGGTCACGCGTGGCCGACTTGAATGCCACAATATCCCAAGCATGAGCCCTATATTGGCGAATCGGCAGTCTGAAGAGCTGTAAGTCAATGCCCTGGTGGATGAGAGTCCGCGATGTGTCCCAATTCAAGCTGACTCTTATATTCTCAGACACAAGTCGATCATAGCTTATCTCTCGGCGAATAACTTACCGAACGCTGCTGCTGCGCTTAGAGCGGAACTGAGCCTTGGAGAAGATGTCTTCGATTCAGCTACAGCGAAGAAATATGAGACTTTGCTTCAGAAAAAATGGACAGGCATTGTTCGGCTACAGAAAAAGGCATGTTTACTGTAGATTTTGCACACTCCTGTCACCGCGATGTCTAACGATGACTCTCACAGATAATGGACCTCGAGACACGAAATACAGCATTGCAGTTCGAAGTTGACAACGCCACACCTACCTCTCTCCCTCTGCGAAATCAGGACCCCAGTTCTTGGCTACCTAAAGCACCTCCTCGGCATTGTTTAGAATCACATCGAGATACCATAAATTGCGTCGCTTTTCATCCAGTGTTCTCCTCTATTGCCTCAGGATCCGACGATTATACAATCAAAATATGGGACTGGGAATTGGGTGAGCTGGAAAAGACAATCAAAGGCCACACAAGAGCAGTGCTTGATGTTGACTATGGCGGCCCAAGAGGTGGAATCCTTCTGGCATCCTGCAGCTCTGACCTGACAATCAAGTTATGGGATCCAGCAGATGACTACAAAAACATTCGCACTTTGCCAGGTCATGATCACAGCGTTAGCGCCATCCGTTTCATACCTTCTGGGGCTATCGGCGCGCCATCATCTGGGAACTTACTTGTCAGCGCAAGCCGAGACAAAACGCTGAAGGTATGGGACGTCACCACAGGATATTGTATGATGACTCTGCAAGGCCACACTGGCTGGGTACGAGACGTTTTCTCTTCGGCCGACGGACGTTTCCTCCTCTCAACAGGGGATGACATGAGTGTTAGGTTATGGGATATCTCCGCACTGAATCCAGAAAGCAAGCTGGTTATGGTCGGTCATGAGCATTACAATGAATGCTGTGCACTTGCTCCGCCCGCTTCATACCAGTATCTTGCACCCTTGGCCGGATTGAAGAAGCCCCCACCTGCAAACAGCATGGCAGAGTTTATGGCGACTGGGTCGCGAGACAAGACTATCAAACTCTGGGACGCTCGTGGAACTTGTCTCAAGACTCTAGTTGGCCATGACAACTGGGTGCGGGCGCTCGTTTTTCACCCCAGCGGCAAATATCTCTTTTCTGTATCGGATGACAAGTCTCTTCGGTGCTGGGACTTGAGTCAAGAAGGAAAGTGCGTCAAGGCCCTTGTCGATGCCCATGAACGCTTCGTCACCTGTCTAAAATGGGCTCCGGGAATTGTCAAAAGTGTACATGCGTCTTACGGCGGCGCAGCAGATGTGCAGAATGGTGAAAGCAATCAGACCACGAAGAGCAACGGTACTGAAGCGGTTATCCCCGACGTTCAGATCCGCTGCGTTGTCGCCACTGGGGGGGTGGATTCGAAGCTGAGAATTTTTGCAAATTGAGGTGGCAAGAGACGCTCAATCAACCTGTGTTTATTTACGTGACTGTATCTCCAAATACCTTTTTGTCTTGAGTGGTGGTTTGGGGAGCATCCGAGAAGCTGAAAGTTGGATGGCTTCTGGGAGAAATACAGAAGTAACGGCACTGGTCGAGGATGGCAAAAACCCACTAGCGCTCGACAAAGATTGCACCATCGTTTATGACGGGGGATGCTTTCACGTGGCGACTATCGTTAGAAGGAGCATAGAGGCGAGAAGTGCGCAACAGCATTTTGTACCTCTTTGCTTGTCCAGGGGTATTGTATATACAATAAGATACCCGTACACTTCAGAATATCGCCCTTCGCCTGGGGCGAATTCACAGGTTATACACGGTCACCAGTTTATTCCGACGGCGGAAGAGGGAATCAGAGGGTGCCAATTTCACTCACGCCAGCAGCGCTGCCTTTCAGCAGCAACATAATGCTCCACTGATACGACGAGTCGCCCTCTCATCCATTCCACCGCAGCGGAAGGCATACATCCACGAAATTAATAGCGTAAATTAGCCAACTCAATGGGCCACACTCGCTCGCGTCGTGGTCCTCAATGCTGGCAAGAAGCTGAGGCTGGACATCGCTAGAGGCAACTCCAGCCTCAGCTTCGTCGTCGCTTTCATCGTCGCTGTCATCTTTGATAATTAGGGGCTCTTCTGCGTGGAATTAGTAAGGTGTATGGGCATACAAAAGCGAGCTGAGAAACCTACTTTGAGTATTGCCTAGCACATAGGTTGAGTTCTAGGTTGAGTTCGTGGTTGTGGGATTTGTTTGCAGGCAGCCCTCGTCGATCAGTTCGCGCTTGGAGATATGGAGGCGCTGTGGCAACGAATGTGGTCATATGACGTAGGGCAGAGTCGTCCAGTTAGATGGGCCTCCTGATCACTGAGGCGTGTGAATGGACTCTCCAATGAAGACAGTGTGGTTAAAGCATGAAATTTAGCCGCCGGGACTGGCTTCTTTACCCACATCAGAACACTCCATACATGACACCATCTGACAACATCCATCTGACAATGAATGGATACGACTGTTGTGATGCGAGGCTTTGGTCGGAACAGGCTTGTTTGCTTTCTAGCTACAGTGCAGGATCTGAAGTTATACACAGTAGCTACCCAACTTGCAAGCATTCCGTCTCTGACCCGATCCACCTCATTACAATATGTGACAGCCACTCAGTTTTACAATAACTACAGGGCATAGAACGTTCCTTTGGTTACCCGGTGTCTGCTCCGCAGCTGACGCAGGGATACCTCCAGCTGCGCAGACAGTTCCGAGCGCTTTCATAGCTGCGGTCACCTAAACGGATGCTATCCTATAGGTCTACTATGAAGGATACAAAAAAGATGAAGGGGGGAACCCCGTGAGTCAATTCCCTTAAGTACCCGAAACCCATCCGACTTGGTTAGCCCGCTCAAATGATCACACGTGACCAGGGGGAACCTCGTGAGTCATTTCCCTCTAGTACCTGAAACCCATCCGACTCGGTTAGCCCGCCCAAATGATCATACGTGACCCGCAGTGTCATACTGACATTCGTTGCACTCAGTTTGCTATCAAACTCAAGAGCAAACTTAGAAATCTCCTGCTCAAACCTACAAGTCACCATACATATCTTGGCTTATCACACCAACAACAGAAGCAATACTACTCAACGATTGCTGCAAACTCTTCTACTACATCTGTTTATGCTACATACATCACGGCATATCATTTGGACACTCATTGAACAAGTTATTAAGAAAATCTCCTCCTTAAGGGGGTGGGCCAATACTACCACATGGCATATCTCTACCAACTAGAGGCCTAGGAACATGAACGATAGCTCTAGAAGCTTCTACAACCCTCTATGATTCATTACACGTCATCGCTCCTTAGTTACCCACAAGATTGGTTAAGTTATGACATAATTTGTCTATAGGTACTCTGACCTTGGACCTCCTTTTCACTTCCTATAGGCTAGGAACCCAAGAGATGGTTCTATGGGATTCTCTTACGTTCACTACATAATTAGCAAGCTAGTTGTGGGTCGCACTTGATTTCTAATACATTTACCAAGCCTGGTTAGTCATGGAAAGTCATGGAAAATTGTCATACTGACATTCGTTGCACTCAGTTTGCTATCAAACTCAAGAGCAAACTTAGAAATCTCCTCCTCAAACCTACAAGTCACCATACATATCTTGGCTTATCACACCAACAACAGAAGCAATACTACTCAACGATTGCTGCAAACTCTTCTACTACATCTGTTTATGCTACATACATCACGGCATATCATTTGGACACTCATTGAACAAGTTATTAAGAAAATCTCCTCCTTAAGGGGGTGGGCCAATACTACCACATGGCATATCTCTACCAACTAGAGGCCTAGGAACATGAACGATAGCTCTAGAAGCTTCTACAACCCTCTATGATTCATTACACGTCATCGCTCCTTAGTTACCCACAAGATTGGTTAAGTTATGACATAATTTGTCTATAGGTACTCTGACCTTGGACCTCCTTTTCACTTCTTATAGGCTAGGAACCCAAGAGATGGTTCTATGGGATTCTCTTACGTTCACTACATGATTAGCAAGCTAGTTGTGGGTCGCACTTGATTTCTAATACATTTACCAAGCCTGGTTAGTCATGGAAAGTCATGGAAAATGAGAGAACTACACTCCTTTGGCATAAATAGGATTGCCCTTTCCTTAAGAAACGGCAAGCAGGCAATACAGAAAATCGACTAGCACATACTTCTACGTCTTTTCCAAGCTTCCAAGCATTGATCTTGTTATTCTCTGTTTTTTGAAAAGTCAGTGAGGTGCTAACCTCTGACTTACCCCTGAGTTCTCAGACTCAACATTTGTTGCAACTTGTCTAAACCACTTCACCACATCATACACCTGATTGCTGCGTTGTGGAATAGTCTAAGCTACAACCCTTTGGCTCTGTTTCCTAAGACAGTGTGTTGTCTTAGTAAAGTCATCCCTTCCTTGGGTGGCTAGATTCTCATATCTGGTGCACCCACCATTACAAAAATGAGAGAACTACACTCCTTTGGCATAAATAGGATTGCCCTTTCCTTAAGAAAGGGCAAGCAGGCAATACAGTAAATCGACTATCACATACTTCCACGTCTTTTACAAGCTTCCAAGCATTGATCTTGTTATTCTCTGTTTTTGTAAAGTCAGTGAGGTGCTAACCTCTGACTTACCCCTGAGTTCTCAAACTCAACATTTGTTGCAACTTGTCTAAACCACTTCACCACATCATACACCTGATTGCTGCGTTGTGGATAGTCTAAGCTACGACCCTTTGGCTCTGTTTCCTAAGACAGTGTGTTGTCTTAGTAAATTCATCCCTTCCTTGGGTGGCTAGATTCTCATATCTGGTGCACCCACCATTACACGCAGCTACTCAGAGTCTGCTCCTTAGAGTGAGAGACGAGAAGGCATCCTTACACCTCTGATCGTAGGGATGTGTGTGGCTTCAGTCTCAAGTAGCTTGATAACGTTATAGACCCAATATCTGCAGCCCTGGCCGCCAGCGCTGAACTGATATTTGTCATACTTATTGGCCACGATGCGGTCCATAAATTGCTAGACCGTCAAGTTGGATGTAACAAGCTGGAGCGACTTGACCGCATTGTTCAAGTACAGATAATGTTTTTTGGTTATGATGGGCACGATTGAGAGGTTGGGCTGGAGGGACTTTGGTCGATGTGTAGCGATTCATTTTGGGAGATTGGGCAGTAGAGCACTCAATGGTTTGTTTCTGGGTTGCCAGCGACTCCTGGCGCACCAACTCCTGGCGCACCAACTCCAGTGGCGGGGTGTACATAGATATAGATGCAGAGGATTTTGGAGCTGGCGACCTGGCTAGCGAGGGAAGATCGGATGGTTGTACTACTATTGGAAGGCGCTGCCAATGAGAATGGCCGTTCTCAAGACGAGCAGCAAGAACCGTTGCGGGTAGCTGCACAGCTCGGCGACATGGAAATGTGCTACCTATTTTTTTACAACGAGCTCAAGGTTGGAGTAAGCTGTAATGGTGGGTGCACCAGATGTGAGAATCTAGCCACCCAAGGAAGGGATGATTTTACTAAGACAACACACTGTCTTAGGAAACAGAGCCAAAGGGTCATAGCTTAGACTATTCCACAATGCAGCAATCAGGTGTATGATCTAGTGAAGTGGTTTAGACAAGTTGTAACAAATGTTGAGTCTGAGAACTCAGGGATAAGTCAGAGGTTAGCACCTCACTGACTTTTCAGAAACAAGGAGTAACAAGATCAATGCTTGGAAGCTTGGAAAAGACGTGGAAGTATGTGATAGTCGATTTACTGTATTGTCTGCTTGCCCTTTCTTAAGGAAAGGCAATCCTATTTATGCTAAAGGAGTGTAGTTCTCTCATTTTCCAAGACTTTCCATGACTTACCAGGCTTGGTAACTGTAGTCAATGTAAGAGAATCCCATAGAACCATCTCTTAGGTTCGTAGCCTATAGGAAGTAAAAGGAGGTCCAAGGTCAGAGTACCCCTATAGACAAATTATGTCATAGACAAATTATGTCATAACTTAACCAATCTTGTGGGTAACTAAAGAGCGATGACATGTAATGAATCATAGAGGTTCGTAGGAGCTTTTAGAGCTATCGTTCATGCTCCTAGGCCTCTAGTTGGTAGAGATATGTCATGTGGTAGTATGAGTGATGTCATGTAATGAATCATAGAGGGTTGTAGAGATATGCTATGTGGTAATATCGACCCAGTAACTAAGGGGCGATGACGTGTAATGTATCATAGAGGGTTGTAGCAATCGTTGAGTAGTATTGCTCTTGTTGTTGGTGTGATAAGCCAAAATATGTATAGTGATTTGTAGGTTTGAGGAGGAGATTTCTAAGTTTGCTCTTGAGTTTGATAGCAAACTGAGTGCAATGAATGTCAGTATGACACTATTGGCAACACTGGGTACAGGAGTAAGCTGGGTCTCCATAAACATAAAGCATTAGCTGTTACGATTACAGCTCACAGCTTGTCACAGTTTGTTATGGTTGTTATGGTTGTTATGGTTGTTATGGTTGTTATGGTTGTTATGGTTGTTACGGTTGTTATGGTTGTTACGGTTGTTACGGTTATTACGGTTATTACAGTTGTTATGGGGATTACGGGTGTAGCCTTAGCCACAAGGTTACAACCGCTAAGCAGACAACTGTATGTTACCTTCCTTCCTTCTTCTTCTTCTTCTCTCTTTAGATTCAATCTAGATTACTTTTCCTGGACTGGCACCATGACCTCTATGACCATCGTAACATTAGCGATCTAGGCGAGCTGGCCATAACCTGTCAGACAGCATCCTCACAGCCAGAGACTTTCCACATCGCCTAGTCGTTTGTTAGGCTAGCAAATGGTCCTAATAGTGATGAGACAAGTCCATCAGGTGTTACAACAGCTTGCCAGTTTAAGCCGTGAGAACGTTTATGCCCAGAATATACCTGGCGCTGTGCATCTTGTCCAACAGGCTGGCAAAAGCCTCGAAAGGTGCCGTCTACAAATCCCTAGATCCCCTTTCCTCCTCCAGCTTCCTCAACAGCAGCCGCCATCTCTTCCATCCGGCAGTATGTCAATTGTAGGTGCCACTGCAAGAGGGCTGCAAACTTGCCAGCTAAGAATACTACTATATCATTAAATATAGTAGACAGCTAGGATGGACTCCGACCAAATATATCTGAAAGAGCGTCCTACCGGCTAGGAAAAGATAGATGTGCAAGGACGACGGCGAGGGCTGTTTCTAGGTCAGGTGATAACCGATGTCGAAAGAGATCCTGTAGAGGTGGAGGAGCGGCATAAGACGTCGAACCTCCTTAACATTAAAGCGTAGGAGGCGGCGGGCACGCCTAGGAGGCATTAACGCTAGACTCCATGGGCTAGGAATATATTCGTACTTATATGGAAGACGTTGTTGTATTTGACGGCGCCAACGATGGTAGGAAATATGCCAGGCGGCGACAACAATAGCTAGAACAACTAGATCTTCGTCGGGGTCTGCCATTGATTGTCATAGACAGCAGGTGATTGTCACAGACAGCGGGTGATTGTCACAGACAGCAGGTCTGTTGTCACAGACAACGGGTGATTGTCACAGACAGCGGACAGGATCGCCAAAAGTTTATATTGCCTCATACGGTTACTATAAACTTGAATATTTTAGCTAATACTGTATAGGAATTGCGCCTAGTTGGCTTGGCGGAGTTGAGTTGCAATCCAAGTTGCAACCGCTGCTAAAGTGGTCTAATACTATCTGGCGGTGTGCAACTTGCTTTCGCCGACCACCTGGAGGGTGGTCGGTGCGAACATCGACGATTAGTATTCAAGTTTATATTCGAATTGCTAACCCTAAAACTCGGTTGTGACTACAAGTGCGAGTGGCACATTTTACATCAACTCGGTGTTCTCTTGACTAAAATTATAATTAATAGATATTCTGATACAGATAGTGCCATTGTTATTAAGTATCCCCGTACCTGATCTATCTCATATACAGCCAATTCCCCATATGTATATTATAATACCGTACCAAAACCCCCCCAATTCAATTCAGCAACCATAACATCCCCCCAAAAATCACCAAACCCCAACGCCACTCACCCAATTCAACCGCCCACTAAACCCACGCCCCCCTACTCCCCCCCCTTCCCCTCCCCTCCGCCCAGTCCTCCATAGCCAACCTCTCACTAAAACTCCTCGCCCCCCCACCGTCAACCCACCCCCCCGCCGAACCCCCCCACGACGCCCCCCTAGCCCCCTCACTCATCATCCCATCCCTCAAGCTCCCCACAAACGAACTCACCTCCCCCATCCGCCGCGCCGCCTCATGCACCGCGGGACTCACTATCGGTTCCGCGAAAGGGTGATAGGAGTTGCGGAGGGAACTACCGATTGCTGGGGCGTACGGAATATCCGCGCCTGCACCTGCACCTCTGCCAGCATCTGCATCCCCATCACCTGACTCAGGTGCGGAAGGCGCGCGTGATATGATCGCCTGCGCGGGTGACTTGGCGTAGGCAGATAGCGCGACGGGAACAGGAGGCTCGGGCGAGGCGGGGGTGGAACTCGAGCTCGAAGTCGAGTTTGGGGATTGGGCGCGGGGGGGTTTGGCGCGGCGGGTGCGTGTTGAGGGCGGGGCGTCGTCGAAGGCGAAGAAGTCGTCTTCGTAGTCGGAGTCGGAGTCGGGGTGTGGTATGGACGTTGGGGAAGGTGGGGCGGCTGCGGTTGCCAGGGTCGTGGGGGTACCGAGAGGTTGTCTTGTGGGTTGTGTAGTGATGGGTGTGGGGAGTTTGGTCGGGGAGGGAGAGGTGAGGGTGTTGGAGGGGTTGGCGCCGGATATGTCGATTGGCATTGCCGGGGAGGTGGTATTATTTGTCCTGACGCCCCTGGTTGAGTGCATAGGCGCCAACGGCGTCATCTCAGAGAGTATGTGCCCCTCTTCCTTCGCCTCGGCCATAGACACCTTAGACACGTCCTCGTGCAGTTGCGAGGCATGCGGCGACGTCGATGGCGACACGGGCCCCGGAATGGCAATCGGCGATGCTCCATTGGGGGACTGCGGCGACATCCGCCGCGGGGCAATGCTGATGAAATCCTCCTCATCTGACAACGCCGCAGCCGCATCGTCGATAGACACAGACGCAGACCCATCAGCTGGGGCGCGCACCTCATCCCACTTCGTGCCATCATCCTCGACCGGGCCACGAGATAGCATCCTCAGTGCCTGCGAGCTCGAGATCCGCCGCGACGCAGTCTCCTCATGCACATCCTCCACCTGCTCTATCTCCACCTGTTCTTCCCCTCCCTCATCGGCCTCGTTCGACATCGCATCTAGCGCTGAAGGCATCATCTTCGTCTCGGCCATACTCGGGCTCGAAGTCGTCGGGAACTCCTTGCCCGCAAACTCAAACCTAACTCTGCGCAGTCCATTCACCTTCCCCGAGATCGAGCTCCTTCTCAGCGCGCTCCTTCGCACTGGATTCTCAGGATCAGACATCGAGCCCGAATCATCCGTGTTACGCCGCCGCGGCTTTGGTTTCCTTGATGGCGGCGAATACGACACCGACAGATTCGTCGCCACCAGCTCTGCCTTCCTATCCGCCTCCGCGTCCTGTGTCGCCTTCAGCACAGGCGTCCCATCCCGCCGCTCGTGCTTATCAGAGCTATCCAGCAACGGCAGGTATCCCTGTGTAAAAACGCCCAAAAACTCGGCTTCCCTCGCGTGCGGACTCCGCGGCACATCTGTATCCGCCGCACCAGCTACATCTATCGGCGGTGGCGGCGTCAACTTGCCCTGCTCCTTCAGCCGTCCTACTTCCCGTGCAATTTCGCCCGCTGGGTTCGTGGAAGGGGGTGTCCCTGAGTCCTCCGGCGTCGCTGTGGCGGCTACAGTGTCGACGAGCGAAGGGTAGGCGCCCATGCCCTCTGCCACTGCGGCGGTGACGGAGGCGGCGACATCGGGGGCGACGTCGCGCAAGAGGGCGTCGGAGTGCTTGGTGAACTCGGCGGCCATGACGCGGCGGTAAAGCAGGACTTTGTGGTCCAGCTCGCGCAGTTTGGAGTGCAGGGAAGCAATGAGGGTGGAGGCTTCGTCCATGGCCTGGTGGGGGGCGGGGGGCGGGGGGCGTGAGGTGAGGTCGAGGTGCGTACGGTGCTGTTCAGCGGTGTTGAGTCATGCCGGAGCTGACGCGGCGGGAGCCTGGGAGGTAGAGGGTGGGTTTTTGTATGAGGCGTGAGGCTGTGCAGTGTGTTGAGATGGAGGAGGGTGGCGACGATCGAAGGGGTTGGAGAAGTGGAGGAGTTTGCGGAGGTAAGTTGCGGAGGTAAGTTGCGGAGGTAAGTTGCGGAGGTAAGTTGCGGAGGTAAGTTGCGGAGAAGTTGGTGTGGTTTTGGAGTTGCGCGTGTGTGGGGTTGATGGAGGGATGACGGGGCCAAAGATTAGAGTGCAGACGCCGAACTGGTATAATACTGCTGATATGGCTACGATATGGCTATGATACGGTCGGTGTATTACGATTAATATAACAGTCTAATCACAATTGAGTGATTTGCAGCTTTCTATTTCTGCTAGATTCATCAATAAATCCCGCTCGGGGTCTCCGTCGAGTCCACTACAGCCCCGTCAACATCGTACGAGTGACGTAGGTAGTATCAAAACTCCACTTTCATCTGGACCTCTACCTCACACACGAACAACTGTAACTTACCTGCTCTGTATAATCCTCGCTCGCTCTTCGTCCGCCTCACGAATCCCAGAGGGCCTGGGAGCCGGGATCGACGCAGCTTTCTTCGTAGTGAGGCGGGATGCCCTTCTGGGCGATTGGACGACAACCTTCAATGCCGTTTTAAACAGCAACTCGGTTTTTATGTTTCGTGATTGCGTGAAACTATCCGTACAGTACATACATACATCATATCCCCCTATCCCATACCCCCTTTCTCTCGACTACTCCCCTTCAATACCCCCAACTTTCTTTTCCTTAAAACATATCTAACTCTCGCATACTCTCCACCTTATCTAACAACCTCTTTGCTTCCTTCTACCTTCTCGTCTTTTCCGACTCTACCGCTGCTTTCGAATCTACATCTTGTCTAAACGCGCGCCTCCCAACCCGCTCACTCCCAACCCGCTCACTCCCAACCCGCTCCCCACTAACCTGCTCCTTCGTCCCCCTCACCGCCTGGTCAAGCACACTATGCGCCTTCGCAGCAACCACCGACTTCGCGCCCTCCACCTTCTTCCCCACCCCCACCCCCACCTTCTTCCCCACCCCCACCCCCACCCCCACCCCCACCGCCCCATCCAGCAGCGGCTGCGCCGTCTCCCTTACCGTCTTCGACCCCCTCACCTTCTCCGCCGCGCGCTGATACGCGTCCTTCTTCTTCGCTAACTTCTTCGCCTGCTCCGCCGCGCGCTCATACGCGTCCGTCTTCTTTACTTCTCCTAGCCCGACCTTGCGATACGCGCTCATAAGGGCAAAGTATAACTTGATGACCCACCCGTGAACCTGCTCCTTCACAAGCATCGTAATCCCATGGCTGAAGAAGCCCTTGAGCACCTCCCCCCCGAGTCCAACGTAGAGCGCCTCCAGCCCCTCATCGCGGTAGATTCGCGCCACGGTGCTGAAGACCGTCGAGCCAGCAGCGCGCTTGTGGTCCTTCCGTCCTGCCTTGGCGGCTTTGGTAGAGTGCGTAGCGTTGTGGAGATCAGATTTCGCCTCCTCCTTCAGTTCGACGCGGGACTTGTTACCTGCTGGTGCGGGGGAGACTTGTGAGCGCGACTTGGCGAGTGAGAAGGGGTATGTGATACTTGATGCGGCGGCCTTGGAGAGCGCAGCGGGGAGGAACGTCAGGCGCGCCCCTGGATCATCGCGGTTGGAGCGTGGCAGTAGGCGTTTCAGCGACTCGAAGAAGAAGAATGTGAGGGAGGGGTTGAGCGTCAGCACCAGACTGGCGGAGTACCCACCCCAGAAGCCTTGGATGCCCTTCTCCTTGAGGATGCGATCCGCGATATCCTGCACCGAAGTTGCACTGCGGGAGGTCTGGGCGCGGGTTGCGATGTTGGATAGGGGTGTGGTGAATAGCTTGCTCAGGGCGCCGGCCGCGACGCCGACGGCGAGTTCGTCGAGGGTGCTTAGTTTGTGACTTCTGTGTGCGTCGAGGCGGTGTGAGCGTATGTAGTTGTAGAAGAGGAAGAAAAGAAACGAGTCTGCGATGCTCTTGGCGGTGTCTGGGATTGCGCCGGCGAAGAAACCGGCGAAGCCATCGCGCGCGTATATCTTTTCGGCGGCGTCGAGGATGCCGTCGTAGGTGTCTTCGGAGGAGGAGTCGGTGGATTGCTGGATGCGCTGGACTTGAAGACGCTTAATTATTAGGTCGAGGGGGTAGGTGACGAGGTTCGAGATGGCCGTTCCTGTTGAACCAGAGATAGCGTGGCCGAGTGCGGGGAGGGCGTTGGAGGGAGATCCATGGTGGTGATGATGCTGCTGGTGGAAAAGGGAGTTGGGGTCTTCTTTCTCGATATGGTAGATGGAGTAGGCATCCTATGAGTAGACTGTTAGCTCCCGTCATTCACGATTTCTGTGACACCTAAACGCGCTGAAACAATGAGTTGCATACCAATTGGCTATTGTAGATGTGCGCCATCTTGGAGTCTGGCGAAGTGCTTGGAGGCCAATGCAGGAATAGGGGTAGATTATCAAAAATGTGGAAATTCAGATGATTATCACCGATACGATTCAACTGTTAACTTTCATACAACGTAGAGTCTGTTGAATCGAATCCGAAAGGGAGGATTTAAATGCAATGATGGAGTTCTGACGTTCTCGTTCTGGCCATACGTCATACCAAGCTGCGATGATCCCTGTGTGTTTCCAAGGTATCACTTTATGGCCCGTGCATAGCACTTCATGTGAACGCGGTTGTACTCGCCGCTCAGGATTAATATCAGCAATTTAAACACATAGAACCTATCTCTTCAGTTCCATTTCCTAGTAGCTGACTTACTAATTGTAGCCCCGAGTAATTGAACGCCTTTACTTGAATTGAAGTTGCTGTAATTACTGTTGTCATGTACAGCGCCCCACGAGTACCACTTAGAGAACTGTTATCATATACAGTTTCATGGCGAACAGTACAGGATTAAACCTCTCTTTACTCCGTAATCTGATGGGGTATCTCTACAAGTATCTATCATCTATCGTATCAGCATTGGAATGCAACTCCCAGCCTCTCAACTTTATTCATGCCTCCGCTCGCAAACCCCGTTCCCTCGCTCTTGACCTTCACCAACCCAGGCGTAATCTTGTCCTTCTCCGGTTTCTGTGTCTTCCACTCTTTCGGTTTCACTTCCGTCAGATCAGCTTCACAGACAAAACAGCGTATCTTATTCGCCTCTGCCTCTGGCCCATGTGGATCCCCCTTCCCCGCACTCATAAACTTCTCTGTGCAACTCGTGCATATTACGTGCCCGCAAGGCTTCGCCAACATTGCTTTGGAGCTGTTGCTCAACGCCTTCTTGCAGGCGGGGCATATCCGCTGCGTAGTCTTCTTATCTGAGCTCTTCTCGTCGGTGAACGAGACAGTTATGAGCGTGTGTAGCGAGTAAAAGTGCGGCTTATCGGCCTGGGATGACGGGCATACGGGCGATGATTTCGCCTTCTTCTTTATGTCGTGTAGTGTATTGTTTGTGTTGGAGGACGGAGTAATAGACGGTACCCAAAATGACGGTAGAGTTATCTTCGACGCCTTCTCATCATCAATCGACTTTCGCGCCTTCGTCCTGTCGTCCTTCGCAATCCGCAGCAACTCATCCTCATCCAACTCGAATTTCCGCTTCTCCCCACGCTTGCCTCCCACCACATCCTCCTGTACCACGACCTTGCCGCTCTGCCTCCCAATAATGCTCCGCCCCGGGCCAACCTTAGCCTGTAACCCCATCTGCACTCTCTCAAACTCCACCACAGCCCTCTTCTTCGCTTCTTCATCATCCTTCAGTGCAACATCCTGTGCCTCCGCTAGCTCCCGCTCCGCCACCTTCTCCATCCTCTTGATTTCCTTCTTCTGGGCCAGGATATTTGACAGGGCGCATTCGCGACAGAAGATGTGGCCATGGGAGCAGGACACCGGTGATTGCGCCGGCATCAGACAGAGACTGCATGATGCGAATGGGAGAAAGGAATCGCGAGATAGGCGGGCGGAATTGTTCGACCATGCTGACTTCGCGAGGTCGCGCTCGTAAGACGTGAAGACGCTGCGCGCGGTGTTGCGCTTGCCTTTTTACGTGTTAGATTGCTGGATAGTTGCACTTATAAGGAGGGGAGTTCGGCTTACTGTGTGACATTTCGGCGTATATATGGTTACGATATTAGCCGTGAATGATACCTGGCTCGCAAATAGACGACGTTCTGGAGATGTCTCCGTAGATGCGATCACATCCTTGTCGGTATCCAAAACTTTGGGCCATCGGATTAACTAATATTCCGCTCGCCGGTGCACAGATTATGTATAAACACCTCGTACCTATTTCTCACACATAGCAGTTGCGCCTTACTATTTCCTTTGCTTCATACGATAGATGATGATCGTTCATTTAGTTATCTAAGAAGCTCAGCCGACGCTGGGTATCACGCCATGTCGTCCCTTACTCCTCCAAACCAGCCGTCATTACCTTGGCGGATTGGATCATCGGTGACCATCGGAGTGGTCGGGGCCTTTTGTCGGACTTTCCTATATGGGCTCAATGACTCTCAAGTTGTTGGCTTGGATAGGTTTCTCAAGGTTTTGGAAGAGAGGCGAGATGTAGGGGCTAGGACTAGGGGACTTCTTACTGGTAAGGGTCTTTGGTGTGACGACCCCCCCGGGGGTATTGCTGGTCGCTAATCAGAGAACCGGATAGTTTCCAATCATGTCAGCGTGTAAGTAATTTACTGCAAGCAACCAAAACTGGCAGTTCAAATTTTGAGTATTTCGGTGGCTAACAATGTGAGAACAGTATGGATGACCCTTTAATGTGGGGCTTTCTGCCTTATAACATACTGTTCAACCCATCCCTCCAGAGATGGTCACTTGGGAGCTACGATATATGCTTTAAGAACAAGTGAGTCTTGATTGTAATCATCTGAGAAGTTTGTTTCTGACAAAATCCCACAGAGCCCTTTCGACATTCTTCTCGCTCGGTCAGACTCTGCCTACTCACCGCACCGCCCACTCTGAATTCGGCGGCTTGTTTCAGCCCACTATTACGCAAGCCATCCGCCTGCTATCTGCGCAGCCATTTTTAACCCCAGAGCAAGCCCTAAGTTCCCCGCGGTCGTCGCCGTCGGCCTCCCCAAAATCGCCGGACGTCATCGATCCTTTCTCATCCAACTCGCTGGTTTATCCAATTACCTATTCTACCAATGGAACGGATGTGTTCCCAGCCCCATCAGCTTATGACTCGCGGAAGCACAGCTGGGTTCACATCTTCCCGGAAGGCCGCATACACCAGCACCCGGTACTGGCTATGCGATACTTCAAGTGGGGCGTGTCTCGGATGATACTTGAGTCTGAACCTCTACCAGATATCATTCCAATCTTCATAGACGGCACCCAGCATGTGATGCATGAGAGCAGGACGTTCCCGCGCTTCATTCCCAGAACCGGGAAGAAGATTACAGTGGTATTCGGCGATAGCGTTGATGGAGAGAAGGTATTTGGCGACTTAAGGCGCAAGTGGAAGGCCCTCGTCGAGATGCAGAGGGATGCGTTGAAGAAGAAAGGAGAAGATACCACGATGGAGATGGGAGTGCTGACAGAGGGTCTGAAGTATAATGCAGAAGCTGTTGCATTGCGGCTAGAGGCAACTCAACGGATGCGAAATGAAGTCGTGAAGTTGAGGAACTCGCTGGGATATGATGAAGAGGATCCCAAGAATGGATTGGTGGAAACGTGGATAGAAGAAGGAAAGAGCGGAGCCAGAGAAGGCCACATGAAGGATAATAGCTGGATCAAAGATACCTAGCAATAGACTGTACAAACATTCGTACCATAAATAATCACTTATACCAAACCTATAGTCATCAATTCGTTGACAAGATACAAACAGGGTTCTAAACTGAGATATGCACCAAAGAGCTGTTACCGCTGCATAATCGGGTACCTACATGCCAATAGATCAACTATAAGCTTGTTGTTCTAAGTGAAGGGGCGTGAGGTTTGATCGCTATCCACTCTTACTGGCTGGGCCCCTGTTCCTAGCGGATAATCGTTAACCCGACCATAGCTCCGCCCGCCCACCAAAGCGTCGTCATAAGCCCATAGATGATGGACACCAAGGTTGGAAGGAACATACAGCGCCGTCAAACAACGAACAACGACGACGGCACATCTCGCATTTACAGCGGCACTGAGTCATTGTTAACGATACCCGCCTCACACTCAGTGTCTTAGAGGGTGCTTGCATGATGTGGAACGACGAAGACAACAATCCCTATGGGACGAGCTTTGAGCGGCGAGACTCTGGGACGTCTTCCTCTGCGAACCAAATCACAACGGAGCAAGGTGAGCTCTTTCACTCCTTCACTATATCATTCATTACAGAACTATGTACTCTGTATTTCTTGGAGACTATGACGATAGCGATACTGATTGGCACGTTGTAGCCCATAACACCTCCGATTCAGCCGATGCCTTTGCCGACCCTCCGGACTTCGCTCAATCGGCAGGCTTTGTAAATGAAAGTGACAGCGAGGAAGATTATGCCTCTGAAGCGTTAGGAAATTCACGACCGGGGCCAAAACCGGGCGGTTATGACAGCCGCGTAGAGCAGCTTCTATACGAGAACCCCAATCTACCCATCCTGATCACGGAAGCTGGGAAAGGCGCGGACGGCACGAAGTATATTGCATATACCATCAGGACAGGCGTTAGTAGCGTGTTCACACATTGAGGCTCTTTGCTGACAAGCACAGGATTTGGAAGTTCGCAGGCGATACTCCGAATTCGCATCTTTGAGAGATGCGCTCGCCAGGTTACACCCGACTCTGATAATCCCCCCAATTCCAGAAAAGCATACAATGGCAGACTATGCTGCAAACCCCACAAAGGCGAAGCAGGACCAGCAAATGATCGATTATCGGAAGCGGATGCTGGCGGTGTTCCTGAACCGCTGCCGTCGCATGGAAGACGTCCGCAATGACGGGGTTTGGTGGAGGTTTTTGGATCCTAATTCGAGCTGGGTTCGTATATTTGCCATTATTGAGGGCTACGGAATGCTGATTATTTGCAGAGCGAAGTTCTTCACACTCATCCCATTGCGTCAATTCCAAAATCCACTCTGAATGCACCACCACTCGACCCCGCAAATCCTACCCCCGCTCACGCTTACTTGCCACGACCGCCTGCATCCGCAAAACTCAAGGCCGCCGGATATTATAATACCAATTCTCAGGGCATGCTCAGCCAGCCATCGGATTTCAATGCTAGCCCATCTGCTGCGGCGCATTCTACGCCAGGTCCGCAAGTATTCGGTCGATTCCCTCCTGACACAAAAAATATGACCGAGCAAGACCTAGATGGCTACTTTGTGAACTTTGAGGCTTCTTCCAAAGAACTAGAGGTCCTTCTAATGGGTTCAATGGAGAAAGTAAACAAAAGGACACTGACGCATCTCGGCCAATTGTCTTCAGACTTTGCAGAACTGGGCGCCAGACTTAACGCCTTGTCGCTGCCAGAACCGTCTGCGTCCCTTTCTGCAGCGATCGAACGAGTTGGTCGAGCGGTGGACGATTCGTACATGGCCACGGAAGAGCTCGTTAACTCAGTAGGCGCTACCTTCGCCGAGCCCATGCGCGAGTCCGCGCAATTCGCAGGTGTTGTCCGCAGCGTCCTCAAATATAGGGTGATGAAGCGAGTCCAGCAAGAAATGGTGATTGACGAGCTCGCCAAGAAACGCGCAACTTTAGACTCGCTCGAACGCAGCGAGGCGGAAGCACAGCGCATTGAGCAGTACCTGAGCAACGGCGGGCGCTCAGAGGGCATACGCCGGTCTACTTCATCGGGCCGAGAAGCTCCAAGCAGAAGAGACACTCACTCAGAAGAAACAGAAAGCATCGACTCCGACTTCCCACCTACCCATGATGGTACCGCGCCCAGCGCACAGCAAGGCATACCAGAAGACCACCGCAACGCCTTGTCGCACAAGAAGAGCAGCAGTGGGAACTTTATCACCAATAAAATCTTTGGGCGTATCAGCCACGCTGTGCATGGGCTTGCAGATGTAGACCCGGAGAAGTCACGGCGCGACAACATCGGGAAGACGCGTGAAGCCATTGGAAACCTCGAGCAGGGGCAGGTGGCTGTCGCTAAGGATGTCACCGATGCAAGTGCGGGTGTGCTGAAGGATCTGAGGAGGTTCCAGGGTGAGAAGGAGGATGATTTGAGGAGGTACATGGTAAGGGTTTGCATTTTCTATGCCCATCATTACTATGTGCCGGTCTATGTCTATATACTGTGTCCCTATACCAAATATCTTGCTAACTCCTCTCCTAGCTCGCATACGCCAAGTCGCAGATCGAGTGGGCAAAGAAGAACAAGGAGACGTGGGAGGATGCTAAGGTTGAGATCCTCAAGATTGACGAGTCGTGACAAGATTGGGGATATGTGATGATGGTTCTTTGAGAGCCAGGTAATATGCGACGTGTTGCAGAACACGTTGCGTTGGGTTTGCACAAACAAGATCCTCATATTAATATGGGGTTGTCGTAGGCGTTTGAAATCGAGCGCTGAATCAAAACATATTTCTAAACCGTATCCGTCGTGGCTTCCATTGGCTGAAAATCGCATGTCCTGAATTCGCTGGTGGGGCTGCTGTATAACGCCATAAGTCCCCAGTTTCGCCAATGCCCATTCCCATCGTCATTTTCATTCAGGAGGCAGTACTATCATGCACAAGCCCGCCGCTTTGCTATGTTGCAGTGTAATATGCCAATTAATCCACCACCTTATCCAAGATAGTGCTCAGTCCATGTGGCCGAGACTCAAAAAGACTTCCTGCCCTCCAGGGTTCTCACTGCCTCCCCTAGCCACCAGGCATGGATTCTGGCATCACCTGTTAGCTCCGGGTGGAAGCTAGTTCCAAACACATTCCCCTGTCGCACTGCAACAATGTCGCCCGCTTCATTGTCCGTCGCGCCATCTTGATGTTTGGCAGCTGCGGAGCGCCCTTGCACTGTACCCAGTATCTCTACCGGCTGTTGCTTGATTGAAGGGTCAATTCCTTCAGCGACATCCTTTGATGGCGCAATAACAGTCTCCGGCTTCTGTGCCTCGCCCTCCTGTGCTCCGTCAGAGTCCTTCAGTAGGGTCTCAACAATTGGCGCGCGGATGAAGATTGCGCGGAACGGGTCGGCCATGCCTCCCTCAGCCCCCAGGAATTTGAGATCTAGATCGGCCTGGAAGGACTCTGTCTGTCTCCCAAAGTGATTGCGGTTGACACGAACATCCAGACCGCCAATTAGCTCCTGTCCGCCAGCCTTGGTGCGGTTGGCCGACTCAGCCAGCAGGATAAGCCCCGCGCATGTGCCCCACGTCGGCTTGCGCTGGACTTTGACAAAGTCGCGGAGGGGCTCGAGGAGGTTGCAGCGCTCGGCTATGAGGGATATGGTGGTGGATTCGCCGCCGGGGATGACGAGGGCGTCGCAGCTTGCGAGTTGTGCGGCGGTGCGGACCTCGAGGAAGGTGAACTGGGTTGCGGGGTGAAATTGGGCTGCTGAGCGCAAGAGTTGGGTGTGTTCGCTGAAGGCGCCTTGGAGGGCGAGCACGCCGACCGTGAAGGTGTTTGAGGTGCCGAGGGAACCCATTATTAGAGATGAGTGAGGTTAATAGTAGCAATTGTTGAGAGTGATGCGGTTGAAAGATCGAAGATTTTTAACTCATGGTAAATAAGCTTTATGGGGGATCGGCTGGGGGGGTCGGATAATTGTTTCTCCTCGGCGTTCCTATCCCGTCGTTGGCACTAAATTGTTGCCAAATGCAGGGTTCCGCAGTACGTACCAATCAGAGGGTCACATGGAAGGTCGCATCTCACAGGCCTAATGACCAGGTCCCACCAAAATGCTGGAAATCTTGAAAATGGTGACGACCTCTAAGAACTCCACGTCCCGCTTTCTCTTTTCTCCATATGCTTCTCTGTCTTGCGTCCCGGGAGGGTTATCAACAATAACGACAAGAACCCACTCTTGCACCCCAACTTCCACATAGAAACTACCACCCAACATGCACGCCATACTTGTCTGGATCTTGTATACCTTCCTCTTCACCGCCGCCCTCGCCATGTTCTTCTTCGCGCTGTCTCTGGTGCTCCCCCAAGCCGGCTTCGTAGCGCGCATCCTCGTGTCATACCTTGCTCTCGTCGCGTGCGCCATATACGGTGTCACAGTCTCTCTCATCGCCCGGCCGTTCGGGCTCCAACACTCTGCCCAATATGCCGCCGGACGGGCCTTTGAGTTCGTGATGAAATACGGGGCCGGCATAAACGTTATCATTGAGGACCCCGAGAACTACCTGAACACCGTCCGCCCCGCTGTCTTCATCGGTCCCCACCAGACCGAGCTTGACATCCTCATGCTCGGCGCCGTCTTCCCCACCCACTGCTCCGTGACTGCCAAGGCCAGCCTGAAGCGTATTCCTGTCCTAGGCTGGTTTATGGCCCTGTCGGGGACGGTCTTCATTGACCGCAGAAACTCGAAGAGCGCCAGAGGTGCTATGCAAGGCGCTGCCGACGAGATGAAGCGCAAGAACCAGAGCGTGTGGATGTTCCCCGAGGGTACCAGGAGTTATGCCGAGGAGCCTGGGCTGCTGCCTTTCAAGAAGGGCGCCTTCCACTTGGCTGTGCAGGCCGGAGTACCCATCGTACCGGTTGTCGTCGCCAACTACTCCGATGTGCTCTTTGTGAAGAAGTACCGATTCAATGGTGGCAACCTACGCGTCAAGGGTGAGAAAATAACCCCCACTCCCTAGGTTGGAATTTATACTGACTTTTCCCCAGTGCTCAAGCCTATCGAGACGAAGAACCTCACATCTGAGGATGTGGACGAGCTGGTTATCAATACTCGGAACACGATGATCACAACAATGGCTGAGTTGACCGCCAAGCAACGTGGAAAGCCAGTCCATATCGAGCCAAATCTCGGACTATCAAAGGTGGGCGTTGTGAAAGCGAGCGGTGTTGAGGCGACGACGTCGGCTCTGTCATGATAGACGATACGATTCATGTTTAACTATACAATGACGAATTATTAAGAGGATTGGCGCAAGCATACGTCGGGACGCCACTACCTGGGGTCGAGATACAGTGGGAAGAGGGGAGATGCGGCAGGGAGCTTAGATGGCCAGGAACATAGACCAAGGGGGGCGATTGGGGATGTGGCTGGGACTACCATAGAGGTGCATCATGGCAACGATACCCCAAGCAGGTTGAGGCGAGCGGAGTATAGGTTAGATCACAGTTTACTAAAACCAAGTACTTATTCAGCAACCCGCCGCGACTATGGTTTCCGAGGCTTATTTCAGGGGAATGTGTGTCTAGTCAGCCGATATCATGGTCCCTCTACGTGGCATTGCAATTTCTCAACCTCCGTTTTGCAATACTTCCTACAACTACGAAGTGCACGACAACGTCCTTCTCACCCGTGAGACAATACAGTAAAAATTATATCACTAGAATGACGTAGTCTGAGACTACATAGATAGTTGTAAAGCAGTTAGTTGAAGAATTAAAATCGATCCAAGACGGACTCGAGAGCGAGATGTCAGTTATCCCAGTTCAAGTCAATGAAAAAAACGGATTAGGAGCGTCAGCACCGGAAGGCTATCTGGAGAAAGCGTTCAGGCGAAGTATCCTGTGCCAAAGGAGCCGTCTATTCTTATTCTCGTATTGTTCTTGTTGTCGCCTTCGGTCCTGTTGTCACTTTTCATTCCTGTTGTTGCATTTCGTTCTTGTTGTCACCTTATTCCCACCACCTACAAGCATAGTTCCTACGGTACCCAAGCCAGCGAGAATATCGACGAAGTTGAAAACGTCGCTGCTCTGACTTCCATAGCGTTCATCTCACGGTTTCCCCGGATTCGCTCCGCCTCGCTGAAGTGACTGCGGGGGTTGTTAATGTTGGCGCGGATGGCACCAGGCAGCGTTAATGAAGTAGGCGAAGAGCAAACAACAACCCCGAATACCGATGCCGAGGGATCTGATACGAATGGGCTGGGTTGGTGCTAGGGCAGCCAAGTTGAGGAAGAGAAGTAAGAAGTAAGTGAAGTAGATCAATAAGATCTACTTCACTTACTTCTTTCTACCCTACACAGTTTACAGAGAGCGGGATGGACACAATTTCGGCGCGACACCAAACAGCAGAGAGAGCATACACATCACATCACAAAAAAACAAGACATAAAGATATTGAACGAATCCATTAGATTCAGGTCCAAAAAATATACGATTTGGTAGCACTGATCAGCCCGTAGCATCATCAAGCATCCCACAAGGCCTAATTACCATACATACAACCTCACCCCTTTCCCTCCTCCCCTCACTGTAAACCCCCACGCCCACCCCGCCCTGTTCGGGCATCCTGTAGTCGTTACCTATTCACAGTCCCCGCAATTTTCATTACCCCAGCCAGTTTGCCAAACATCCCCCACCACACCAGCCAGCTGAGCCGAGAGAGTCCCCCCCCTGTGCAACAAAAAACAACCGCCGTTACAAGCCACCATGCTTTTAGGATCCCAAAACAAAAAGTAAGAAGCGCTTCCTCCCAAGTTCCATGCCCGAGCACAGAAAAAAACGCCTGTGACAAAACGCCGCTGCAAAAAAGCAGAAAAAAGCAAAAATATTCCCATTCCCAAAAAATGCTCGAAAACCGACGATTTCCCGCCCATAAAAACCATGATGCCAAATTTGCGCACTTTGGAAAAAACCGCTAGCGCCTCGCTCTCAAGATGTGATTTGTGACCAACCCAAACAAGAAAATTTGAAAAAAGAAGATTCAAACAGCAAGTTCATGCTATGCCGATATGCCGGTTGGTGCCCGGTATGTGAAGGGTGAGTAAAGATTTCAAAAATCCGCACACAAGTTTCATTTTTGGTTTCAGGACGAAACCCGTCTGCTGCTGTCGCAGGGTCGGAGGTGCGGTGGAGAGAGTGCGGGATGTTGGTTCAAAAAACATGCAAGAAGCGCGCAAGTGCATCAAAAGCAGGAAGTGCGTCTCCCATACGAAATGCCTGCCGTAGCCCGTGAATGAGTTGCGGGTTTGTGGGACACGAGTCCCGAGTTACTATTTAGTTGTTCCAGAAAGAACGGCGTCGAAGTACCATCAGTGAAGAGGTCCCTCGAATTCGGATCATCGAACGTAGATAGCACGCTGGTACCGCCGGTTACAACTGCCCAAGATCATTTGCAATTGGTCAGTCCAACTTAACTATCTTCGTTGATCGATTATCCTCGGATTGCTGTCGGTGTATGGGCTTCGTTGAATACAGAGGCGTTGTGGGCGTCATAGGGATACATCCGAGACGTACCCGTGACAAAACCAGTCATAGGGGCTGGGGAAACAGAGCGTTGAATGGTCCCCGATCCGCTCCTACTCGCCATAGCAGGCCGCTGCACCATTTGCATCATGAGAGGCGAACTATTGTCTGGGGAAGAAGATTCAGACTCGACCACATAGCCAGTGTTGCTATCATTGGTTCCATCATACTGGGCAGGACGCGAATTTAAAGTCCCATCCTTCAATGGCGGGGAGTTCTTCGCAGATCCAAACTAAAACAGTCAGCGTCTATATTCCTTCCTGGTAACGCCGAATGGTACGTACAAAGCAATACTTGTCGAGGAGTTCGTTGTAGGATTGGGAGGCCAACGGAGGCTGCTCAGCTCCGTTAGGTCTGAGAGAGTTAGATCCAGTGTGATGGCCCAGAGGAGCGCCAGTGGGTCGGGATGATGCCAGCTCAGCGGTTGGCTTGGCAACAGGGGATGCGAGAGACTTCAAAGGCTGCCTATGCTGCGTTGGCTTTCGACGAATTTCAGGGCGGTCCCCTCTATTAGCAGCCTGGATAGCAGCTGATATCGACACGCCAAAATCATAGCGGTTGGAGAATGCCTGGCCAATTGGGCTTGGAGCCTTCTTCGCTAGACTATCCGTGCTCAAAGTAACTTCAGACCGTACCCCCTTTAACCTTCCATTCCCGCCTCCAAAGTTATTGGACTGTGTTGAAGAGGGGAATCGGTACTTCGTAGCAGGGTTATCAAATCCATCTGCAAAATCATCCTCAAAGGTAGTTGGAGTTCGTCGACTCGACGGTCTATTGCCACTTCTGGGAAGACCGGTAGTTTGTCGGGAAGATGAGCCTTGCGTAACCTTCTTGCTGTTCATCGACTTCATCTTCTTCCTGAAGTCAACTTGGAAGTTGGTATTGTTGTTGTTGTCCCAATATTCCACGCCGCTGACGCAATACTTGACGCAGAAGAACATTGTCTTTGCCTCCAAGTTGGCCAGGTCGGCGAGCTTAATTGTGAAGTTGAACCGATCATACCCGTCATTCTGGAGTTTCCGGCGCACGTCGTTGGTATATTCGGCGAGGACTTCGGAGGTTGTCTTCCAATAGTCGAGAGTGAAACGAGCGACGACGCTCTTGTTGAATGCTAGATTGGCAACAGCAACTGAACCGATCAGCATCTTGTTATCACTCGATAGGTAGAACCTTTCCACGCGGACAGGGAGCTGTAATCTATCGTATGTCTCTGCGGGGAAATTGGCCAATGTGATCTCCCACTCGAATGGGAGACGGTCTTGGCCCTCCTCATCACTAAATGGAAACTCGGAGTCGCTGGCGTAAGCTTCGACAGGCGACGATCCAGCACTAACGGCCAGAGGTCGGTCAATCTGTAGGAAATGGCGGATGTGTTCGAGATGAGAGTCGAAATGAACGGCTTTGGAGAACGTCGGTGTGCCGGGCATGCTAGAAGGCCTCCGTCTCGAGGATGGTCGAAGTGCAGGGCGAACGAGCTCACCAGACTTCTTGCGAACCATTGGAGGTTTCCGATACTGGCTGCCTTCGCTATCATCAGTATCATCATCGTCGGTCTCGGTGATGGGTGTGTCGGCCTGCTGTTGGTGCCTCATCTCGTTTAGGTATAAAGAGGTATCTGTGCTAGAGCGGGAATGGGAGATCTTGATAGCCGATGGTGAGAGCTTCTGCCCCGGATTTCCATTTGCAACTTCCAAGTTATCTGGTTGTGGCGGCATGATGAGGCTCAGGGATTTACCCGCATGGTTGGCCTCCGTATCGTCGTCACTTGGTGAGCTGGCTCGATGTTGCGCAATGTTCCTGATCGCGGCCTGAAGTTCGGAAAGCTTTTCGATTTGCCTTCCTCTCGGCTTTCCCGAGTCCTCGTCGTCACTGGAGTTCTGTGCAGACTCGGGCGGCGAGAGAATAACCCCAGATGGCAACTTAGACTCGTCAGTCACTGGAGGCGGAGACTTGCGGAGGTTGACGTTGTGCTGCAAGCTGCTCCTCTCTCGGTCAGTTATAGGAAGTCTAGTGTCGGCGCCATCTTTGGCCACGAATGAAGCTGACTTGACTGAAGGTGTCCGGCGGTGACGGGTTAGGTAAGATGCCGATCGCGGTAATTCCAGTCTCTGGGAGACAGGTGATGAAGGAACCGGCTGGCCCGGTAAAAAAGAACCTCTCCGACTGCTAGCGGGAGAAGATGGGCCAGAGGACGCGGGTGACCGCTGGCTGGGGGGTGTGTAAGGCATTCGTACGGTTGATATGGGCAATATCAAAAGGGCGAAGGGGGGCTTATAGGAAGTTGTTGATTCTAATCGACGAGGTTTGTCGAGAAGATTGTTTAATTCGTAACAAGCATGGGGGGTTTATGTTCGAATATATATGACCTCGAGTCGTTGAACCTAGAGCAGGAAAGCACTTCGCGTCAGCCAAGAAGTGCCATTATAGGGAAGAATATATTTGAGGGGCAACGGGGGGAACAAGGCGAGGAATGAAAGGATGATAAATGCGGTATGCGCGCGAGGTGAGAGGTATGTGGCAAGGATACTTACGACTAGTCCCAAGTTTATCGCTCGACGGCGAGTTGTTTGCTGCGTAAGAGAGAGAGAGGGAAGGTTCGACCGGAGAAGTTTTAAACACGGCGTATTCCAGCTACGTGCAAACTTTCGGCGAGGAAAGAGCGAGGGGCGGCGATGCCGGAGAGTCGCGGGTGTTCCAGAGACTGGGTGTTGACGCGGGCAAAGACACAACCTGGGGAAAGGTTTCAAATGAACTTTTGTAGAACCAGTTTTATTGTCTTGCCTGGCCCTCCAGAGAGCGCGGGGAAGACTCTTAATAGATGCGTTGGTGGGAACTGATTGGAGGCGATAGTGTCTCAGCGGCGATGACGTCTATTGTGAATAACCTCGCTTGACCTCTCTTCTGGATCACTGAATGACAAGAGTAGTCAGTTGGAAGAATCAGATGAGGAATAAAATATTGAGCGTGGGGAGGCTGGCGATGGCCTAGATAATAAGTATGACCAGAAGAAGAGGAGGAGGAGGAAGAGGAGGAGGAGGAGGAAGAGGAGGAGGAAGAGGAGGAGGGGAAGTCGGAGGAGCAGAGGGTAGGTAATTAAGGTACATTCATTACTCTGGTCTGGGGGTTGTAGAGGGGGGGGTAGAAGGGGGGGTAGAGGGGGGGCTACTCAGAGGCTACTGTACTGTACCGACCACCATTGACCACTAAGTGAATCGTTGGGGCGAGTTATGGACGTTGAGTGGAGAAACAGATTTAGTGACATCCTCGACCCTTGTGTGATACGCCACTTCAAGGTACCGTCTAGATTCTCGCGCATGGCGCCCACCCAAATGTCTGGAATACCTCACTTTGGGTTCGTTGTGCATTTTTATATTGTGCATTTTTGTATTGTGCATTTTTATATTGTGCATTTATAGTGACATGATACTGTATGGTATAATATAAATTGCTACTGTACTCAAGTACGTCTCGCTACATCTGGTACGTCTCTGCATCGACCCTTCTTGTCACTCTACTCCCACCGGCGTCTTCCTTTACATATCTACAAATACACATTAAACCTCAAATAATAGATAAACAAAAGACCTCAACAACCTAATTGTGCACCTATTTTGTCTATTTTGTACTCTGCCCGTGCTATCTACTGTGCTCAAAGCACAAGCACAGGCACAAAGCACAAGTGACAAAGACTGGTATGCTCCTAAAACTTCCCCATGGGCTATGCTGTGCCCTGGTGTGCTCCCCCATACTCCCCATACTCTCCATAGTCTGACCTGTTTCTGTGCTCCCCTAGGCCTCTGACCTCGACAATAGTGGCCTCATAATGCAGTCGAGGTGGACACAACAGTGGGCTCATGGTGGAAACACAGTGGAGTTGGAGCTGCCAACTTCGATTTTGTCGCCACAACATCGGTGAATCCGCTCAAATACTACTACATAATCCAGTGCAATGTACGAGCTCTAACTGTCACAGTAGCTATTATGACTACTACTATTGGTACTCGATCCAAACGCCGGACCGTTCGCATTGTTCACACGGCAGGATGTCACGTCAATATCGCTCCGGCTTTCCTTCCTCTACAAGGAGCACTCTGATTATGGCGTCACAGTGCTCCGGATCGATGTTTCAGCCCTTTTTCATTCGGCGTGCTGGCTGATCAAAAAGCACACGCACGTCCCTGCGGTGCAACCATTACGCAGGCAAAGGGCTTGCTCATCCTATCCTCATCCTCGAATTCCTGTCATCTTTACCAAATCACTTACCTTATTGGGATTCATCATATCCGATCGCCCCCCGCCAACGTCGCAGAAACATAATCGAACTGATAACGAATTCGCCACACAGCTCCTGATTTTTTTTTCTGCTCAGTGCCGCTGTTCCAGGGTATGATTGGCCCCAACACTCAAGCCAGAAATTCCTTGCATGGGTCAGTACGTGGATCCGCTGGCGCAAAATTCCATGGCGCGACATGCCGTTGGCCCACATCGGCATGCTAGTCGCACGCCGCCTTGGTGTATCCTTGTCTTCCTCTTCCCTGGCTCGGTGGCGCCAATTGTGGCTTTTTTTGTCAAAGAGCCTTCCTTGGACTTGGAGGGGCAGGCAAGTCAGTGATGTCGAGAACAGAGATTGGGAATGTCTCTAAAAGAAAAGTCACGTAATCGGTGATCACCCGGGAGGTCGCAAATTGTCACCGTCACCGCTACTGTTACCTCTGGTCATGTATAACAGAGACATTCGATATGGACACCGCCACGTCTCTCTCTTATCACCCCCCAAATGATAAGGCGACTGACTGACCCCGTCCATTCCGGCCAACTCCATCGCACCACACAATGGCACAATGGCATCCTGAGCTCCTTAGCACACCGAAAATAATGGAGACTATGGTGTGAGGTGGAGCAAACATTGCCTTAGGGCCACGGCAGCATCCCTGTGGCTACATTCAATCTATCCACTGCATCTTAAGCTGAGATCGAAATCATTGCCTCTTCCCATCAAATTCCCCCTCGCTGAGAAAGCAGAAGGTAGAAAGCTCTGAGCGGACGTAATCCCCGATCCACCCGGCATACCTACTTCAATCTGACGCCGGCGAGCGGGAGGGGCGGAGCACACCCATTCTTTGAGCTCCTCTCAGTCCCAGTGCTTTTGCTACGATACCTGTGCATTCGGTTTATATTGCACTACTGTACCTCATCCGAAAGTTTTTTCGGCTCTCGTGGAGCTAGACGACGGGTTCGGGGCGAGGCCAGGCTCAAGGGCCCCGATCTTGCAACGGGCTGAGGCAGGGCTCTATCGCTTTATTGGCCTGTTCCGCGGAGTGCCGTTACCATTGGTACGTAGTAGCCCAAGTAACATGCGGGCGACAATACTTGACTTGGAGATAACTGTCAAAGGTTTGGCCCCTGTTTCACTATGCTATTACATATTACTAGGCAGACAACTCAATACAGAGATAGCCTCGAGTCAGGTGGTATGGCCATCCGATATTCACCTGCAATGTTGACTCCCCCTCTCCGTCCATCGTGATCCTGATACCTCACGCACCACAAATGGTTTCCAAAGCACCACAACTCCACCCACCAACCAATCATATCCCCACACCCACCCAACACGCCCCATCCCCGTAGCCTCGTCTGTCTCAAGCAAAACGGCCATGCTTTGGCTGGGGCTGAGGCTGGGGAGGGGGACAGCCACAGCATCCCCATCGCTCATCAAATCAGCACTCAAACGGGATTTCCTGCCGGCGAGCATAAAGGAGGGGTATATGTGCATAACCCATGCAATGCAGCACCCAGCGAACAGGTTATGCAGCTGCGTGCTTCTGGTTTTTTATAATGGCTGTGGTTATCTCGTGGCTTTTGGGTGCTGTGGGGAGGGGTTGAGACAGGAGGTCTTAGCGCGTGGCTGCGAGATGCTGATGCGACGGGGACACGAACTGAGATAAGGCCGTTTGCAGGCGCGGGGTTTGCCCTTCCCCTCAGTTTCAATCGAGTGCTGGTACTGTAGTGTACAGTAGCTACAGCAGTCCGAACTCTGGATCATCATTGTCTCCCAGCAGCCGCGTCGCGGAAGGTCATCTGAATCAGAGGCGGCACGCTTGCGCATCATGTTGCGATCCCCATCGTATTTCGCAAGCCTACATCCGCGCAGCCGCACATGGGTCGCTCTATTAATATTCTCCAGACCCACGCTACGAGCACAACCCCCGACCGAACCCGCAGCAGCAACGTACGATCCGTGTCTCGTCAGCCTCAGGTTCTGGTGCATCATAGTCAGAATACTCGCATCACATCCACCGTGCATGCATGTCCTACAGCAAGCAACAGCACAAACAGCACGTCCACTCCACGCCAGGCATCACCACCCACGTCGATGTAAATCCCCATCCCGCTCGCAACCCTGCCATCAAGTCCCCAACCAGCACTGCAGCGGCATACCCAACACCGCTTCCCCGCATTTGGGACGCACGCACGTCCTCTCGCAGCGTCTACCTGCACCGTCGTTCATTCTGGGGAAGTCGCACACAGGACAGCGATGTCACGGAAAGGGGCTGCTGAGGGGTTAGGTTATGCACATCGCACATCACATCAAACGAACAGGATCCATGGCCCCTACTCCTCGTCGTCTCGGAGAGCAATGATTCCTTGCCGCGCAAGTTTGACTGTGCGCTAAGGTTTCGAGCGCTGCTTGCACCTCCTCACCGCTCGCCTGCCGCTGTGATGCCTGCCGATGGGGATATGCATGGTGCTACTGTATGCTGATCCCCTCGGATGCGATGTGAGGCTCGTGTGGTGAGCCGCGTTCGGTATTGATGATGGGGAGGACGGGCATGCACCTTTCCATCCCATCCCCAGCCCGCGCCACCAACCAAACTAACTAGCCCGCCCACGGATTTTTCTGCTTTGGCGAGGGCGAGGGCGAAGGGGGGGGGACGGGGGGTGTACTCCGTACATGGCCTGGTACATGCACGTCGCGCAAGGGGTTTTTTGTTTGTTTACCTACACGAGGGATGATGTCATTCTCCAAGGATGGAAGCTGTTTTTGCTTCCCTGGCACGGAAGAATGTGCAAAAAGGCATGTGCAAAAAGGCAAGTACGATGCACTTAGGTGGGTTTTGGTTGATACTGTGGCGTCATCGATGGCGAAAAATGGTGGCAATGAGTGAGCAAGAAGTTATCGGTGATTGGTGCTTCAAAGAGGCGATGAGGGAGGTGATGTGGTGGGGATAAGGTTACACGGGCTATAACTATTTATTCGAGGATTCTGACTAACACTGGTAACGGGCAAAGTACGTGGACTTAAGGTTTGTCTACTCGGGCAGCAAGAATCTCCCTCGAGGAATTTGCCACCAAATATATTGAGAGAGGCGGTTTTGTAGGGGATTTAAAAGCCTACTTGCTTTCGATTTGGGGTTACACAAAAACGGGATACGGAATGGAATTTAAGTACTGTTCTATACTATTTCTTGAAATCGAAGATCACTGTGGCGATCAGTATCAGGGTTCTCAGGGTTGTTACTGGTGCTTATCAGTTTTATATCATCCCTCCTGCGTCACTGCTCCAATCCCTTTTCTCCGGCACACAGACTTACTTACCGTGTCCTTCTCTTATCTTGTTTCTTTGTGGCTTGTTGCACTACACCGCCCTCGGTTGCGCCTTTCTATGGCTTTGAGACAGCATGAGGACCGACAACGCAAATATCCTCTTTGGGGAGACCGAGCGGTAAGCTCGTTTTATTCCATTATCCATTTCTCATACCTTTCGTGCTTCCCCTACCTCAAACACCGTCATCGTGCCTAGAGTCAAGTGCTGCAGGTCGAAGAGGGTCACTTGGACACCCATCCGGATAACACCTTCCCCGGCGTCAACTCCCTGTTTTTCCGCGAAAATCGCCTCATGGTAGCAACCGTCGTTCGCACGTGCTATTAAGTGGGAGGCATGATTTGAGTAACGCTGAACGGCTTTCCCCAAGCGGGGGATCTCATATACGTGACCGCCAGAGCGCCAGACTCTCCTTGATGTCGGTCTAAGGCAGGAAATCGTGCAGTCTGGGGTGCAGAAAGAGTAAGCTGTGCATGGGGATGCAGAGTTTATGCTGTTGATCGACTGTCTAGCTTTGCAGTTTACAGGTTTAACAGCATGCTGTTTTGTTACCTTGAAGGTTTCCAGCTGTGCTTGCTCAGTCTGCAGATTCGGTTGCTGCTACCTATCTAGGCAGTAATAAGACATCTTCGGGTCAAAAGTTACAACTTTATGCATCCCAAACGAGCATGATAACGGCCAACATACTCACTTCCATGCTCTTCTCTCCATAGCGTTTCACCTGATACACTTATACTACACTTCTCACCGCATCCCTCACCCGTTCTCTGCACGTCACTCCCACTAGCCCCCTCTCCATGCACAGCCCGAAGACTCACCACGACTGTAACCCTGCAGCGGTAAGGGTCGTCGCAGATATTCCCAACACGCTGGATATGAGCACAGCAGCTCTCACCTATCTCGGGGCCTCCACGCTCACCGCCTCGGGGCCATGACTCGCTCCCAGGCTCGCTGTGGATGAACCCCTACCTGTTCTACCCCTGGGGATTGATATGAGAGGAAATATGCGGGAACGGGGAGCGGGGTCGGAGGATTGGGGGGTGGTGGGGTTGGAGGGAGGGTTGAGGAAGGTCAACGGGGGGGGTATCACGGCTTGGATGAGGTGTCTCCGTGTTACCGCGCGGGTTTCTATGTTAGGATTCCCTCGGTTCTAGGTCAGGTGGTTTCGTGAGGTCGTTGTTATCATCCCTCGGGCTCTGCAAGATGAGAGTATTGCACGAGATCGGCATATGGCCATCAATGAGGTCAATGATACCTGCAGGCCGTCGGCCGAGTATCAGGGTCAGTTCTTCAGCAGAGACAGGTACAGCCTTTGTCTCCTGTAAGTCACTATGTGGCGCCGTGACAAAGGGATAGGCCGCACATCCCCTATTTTTGTAGATATTCAGATCCATCCACCCCGAGCAGCCGCCGTTCACCACCCAGCATCCAGGATCTGAAGAGGCTAGACCCCTCATTTTCTAAAGGGGAAAATGAGGGATGAGGGGGCGGAGGGGCAAGGAGGCGGGTTGTCGAAGGGTTGGGAGGCGGGGTGGAAATCAACCGTTCAATAGTATGCTTATGGTGCCACCATGTGGTGAATGGGATGGGAGAGCTATATTGGAGAATCGGCTCGGCGACGGGAGGTGTGGAGTGAGGAGGGCCCGGGGTTGATGTGAGGCATTGAATTGAACTCTGGAGTATGCCGCCTAACCTTGTGTAATGATTGTACGTATTCACCACCAGGTGGAGGTTGCCAGATGAGAAGGCTGCATCCTAACGGTTAGAGAGATGAAGGTGAGTGCAGGACGGCGGCACAATATAAGTGGGAGGCCCGATCCGGATGGAAGTGGATCGCGAACATCCTACGGCGTGGCGCCTGCGGCGATGCGAGCGCGACCGAAGATGGTAGGGCTCCGCCGTGGAGGAGTGTCAAGGTGGGGAATCCGGAATGCGATGGATCATGTCGAACCTCGACCCAGGCAGAAGAGGGGCCGACTGGGGAGCTGCGAGATATGCATGTTTGATTGGCGGCTTTCCGATGGGGGTCAGGGCGGGCGATGGGCGATGGGCAATGGCGAACATGGGGAGTTACGTACGCGCGCGCGCGTTGGAGGGGTTGCTGTGGACAATCTATCCAGGTTTCGTGTGGTGCATCGTTGGTAGCTAAGTTATTGATATTGATATCAGCTCCCTGTAAGCTGTAAGGGTGGTGGGCCTGCCATCTCTGGGCAGCACGTTTTATCCCTGGCCGTCGTTGCTGTGAAGAACGCCTCCTAGCCATTGATTGCGCGACATCACGCCGTCCTGATACATTTAGACCGTTGGCCTCACCTCAGCCTGTACGACACTCACTGTAGTGAGTAGGCTATATGCAGTATCACCAGTATGGCCACAAGCGATAGGGGAATTCTACAGCAGCCTCTTGACACCTCCAGCATCTCCGACGATATCCGTAACTGAGCATATAGCACTTCGAATTCGACGTTGTGCATGCCGCAACTCCCACTGTGGCTTGCCGAGAACGATGCGACGCTGTGGCGAAGAAAACGGATTACCCGCCTGTTGCCACGGCGGCGCTGATGAAGAAAAGTTGGTCGATACATATCTCAGATGTACACGCGATTAGGCGCTGTAGCGACGCCATGCATTGCATTGTGCCATAGTGGTGTTCTCGGCGGTGGTGGGGTGGGTGAGGGTGAGGTCACCACCCTCACCTACCCCACCACCGCCATCCTGCCAATGCCACCTTGGTGTCTGTTGAGCAATTCGCCGCCGCCAGCATCGAGTCACGAGTAGGTTGAGCGCCTGCGGTGCGGCATGGGGAATCTAGTCAGCATATCTCGATGATGAGGTGGCGGGGACACGGTGTGATGGCACGAGGTTGGGGCAATCTATGCTGTGCTCTCGTCGGCGCCCTCAGATGGCAGGCTTTGGAGATTGGAAGTTTCGCGGATTTCCGCTCTGAGAGCAAGGGGCGTCAGAGAGCCTCGGGGATAATTGCCTGATGTCGAAGGTACCTCTTATCAAGGGAGGGGCATATGTAAGTGAGTACCTCTACCTATACCTTGGCACTTGGTACGTACTAGCTTTTCTTATTTACTAGATGGGGGTTCTGGATAGTTAAGTTATGCAAGTTGTATCAATTGTCTCCATGTGCAATTGACCTCTCCAGATCTCCCTGGGCTTAGACACAACTATGCTACAAGCTCTGGCACGGGAGTATCTCGATGTTTATTTTGTTTTTATGGATGGCGTTCTGCTCAGAACCTTCGGAGCCCCTCTCCGAACGGCTGTCTCTCTATCAACAGCTCTGAAAGCCGTTGTTAGCCGTTGCCGTCGACGAGAAGCCACAGGACGCCAGTGTCCAAGTGCGACGTCGATAAGCACAGAGGCTACGCAGCGGGGGAGTTGGTCTGCTGACCCAGAGTTAGATACAGCAGTTGAGGGAGGGAGGAGGCATTACGTGTGACTATGATCCCAAAACCTTGGAGTCTGCCAGCTTGGGCAGTTCCTCGCGGGAGCCACCAGGGACCGCAAGACAACTTCTTCCTGCCATGGTAGGAGTATCTGTCTCCCGTCTCCTCCCCCGTCTCCTCCCCCGTCTCCTCCCCCGTCTCCTATCCCGTCTCCTTTCCGGCTCCTTTCCCGTCTCCATTCCCGTCTCCTTTCCCGTCTCCTTTCCCGTCTCCCGCCATAGATGGCGGGACGAACGGCTACTGTAGTGTCGGGGGTCGATAGCATCGCCGTGGACTGTGTATATCACGCTAACTGCATGAGCAACGGTAATGAACGACAGCCATGTTAGTAACAGCATCGTTGCGGCGGCAGACTTGGGATATGGTATTCACGATATAATCACAATCCATAAGCTCTTCGACTTCATGCAACAAATATAAACATGTTCAACCTCTTGCTATACCCGATGGTAAATGAGTAAACGACAGGACTAGCTATAAGAATTGAATATCTTCGGACAAGGCGGGTACGTCTTCAAGTCTTCATGTATAGAGGGTCTTCATGTATAGGCAGATATCTTTTCCATTCTACTTCTAGCAGAAATTTCTCCTTTAGAACATCTGGGAACTCATCATTGCGCAAAGGTAGAGCCGATTGGGCCGACCTTGATGTTAGAGTAGGTGACCGACGCGCTCCCTGAAGCAGACTCGACAACCGCGGGAACGCCGGACGAGGTGGCGCAAGACCACAAACGGAGCCGAGCTGTGTCAAGTCGGTGGGGTAGGTAGCCAGAGCATGTTGGAGTAGTGGTCATCCCAGAGCGACATGACGAGCACCATTCCGGCGCCGAGAGCCTTGCTAATGGACGCCATCCCGCCGCGGTCGGCGAAGCTGGTATTGTCACCAAAGGCAATCTTTTGTGCGTAGCAGTAATGACGGAGTTGCCGCTGACACCCGCGATCGTGGACTCCGAGTTTGGGATGGTCTTGGCGTTCTGGGACGTAGAAGCGCTTAATTTCGGTCAGCGGGTTCCCGATGAACTGCGTCACAACCGTGAACACCTTGCTGGTGTCGACAGTCATGCCCTTTCCGTAGAAAGGGGTGTCGCCTTAACGGTACGAGTTGAAATGGCATCCGTCGGGGTCGCATGTGCCTCCATAGCGGTCGGCTGAGTAGGTTCCTCCACATCCATCGCCGTCACACATTGCCTGGGTGATGGTGTCGCAAGAGTGTGGCGTGTACGCCGTTGCCATAGAGTTAGCCTCCCGGATATCCATCTCAGCGTAGCAAGAGCCGTGGCCTCCAACACCAGCATTGGAGTCGTTCGATGATGGCACCCATCCTTCGGCGTTGCCCTAGACAAAAGGTAAGCAGATGAATGTAAGCAGACTGTCAACTCGCGCTTACCATTCCGTTGACGAACTTCATATCACGCGGACATTGAACACCACAGTATCCAGTTCCGTACTTGGCACCGGCCTTGTTGTTGGGGTATTTGCTCATTCCTCCGCCCTTGTACATGGAGACAAAGTAGAGGGCGCCGTTCAGGCCGCAAGAAGCTGCGAGAGATCCATATCAAAAGTTCAAAAGTTAACTCCTGGTCGAGGATGGTTGAACATCTGATAGTTGGTGACATCTGCCATGAGCTATGTTCAGGAGCCAATGTTGGTGGCGTACTGTCCCTCCGTGACGAAGGTCAACTTGTTCGAGTTTCCGCTCACGTTAACTCCGTACGTGCCTGGGTAATCACCACCCTCGAGGGCACAGTTCTTCGCGCAGGATTCGTTGTCTGGGCAGAGCGTAGCGTCCCACTTGTTGTCGGTGTAGCAGTTGGTATAATCACCGACCTTGTGGACCCATTCCAGTTCGAGTCGAGCACATTCCTGACTGCGATGCGCAGCTGGAGCCTCCGATGCCAGTGCACTTTGCCCATGTCATAGTAGGGTGCGTCTCCGCCTGTTCGGTGCCAACCTGCTGCGAGCTGGCAGCGGCGATGAGGGAGAGGAGAATAGCCTTGGTATACATGATGGTAAGATGATCAGATGGTTGATGTCTGCCGGGCGATTCTTTTTCCACTGGGGGGTAAGGCTGTTTTATACTTGACGCCATCGCCTCAGGATCAAGAACTGGTTTGGGAAAGAAGATTCCAAGAAGTCCAATTGGAAACGGCTCCTCTATCTCCGCCTTGGAACCTTCGAAATTCAATGGGGCTATCGGCTCGTCGGGAACGATGGGTTGATAAAAATCCATATTCAAGGCCCTGATGTTGTTTTGGCTGTCAGAATTATAGTAAGGCGCATAATGAAGAGGAATGCGTTTGGTGGTATCAAAGACTAATTGTTGGCAGAGCTGGCGTCTTTACTGTGAGTATCAGCTACAAGCTGGGCAACTTTCAAACTTCCATGGCTATTTGCAACTCTCATATTAGAAAAGGGACAGGTGACTGGGTATCTTGATCTGATCAACCTTAGGCCAGGGAACTTCACCGAGTGGGAAGGAACCCCTCTTCCCCTTACTCTAAATGATTCGATCTACACGGAATCCAGGTTATTATTCCGGAAGGCAAGATTGCTGTTGTCTTGTGGTGTAGCTTGCGGATATGGAGAAATGCTGCACCGATTATGATTCTAGAGATTCAGCCTAGAGACGCTGGGGGGCTGGTAGAGATGCCTCGCGAGTGGTTCAATCTGCTTGTCCCCTATGTAAGCTCGTGCCTGTGAACGAGTGGTGGACGCGTTCTTCTTGGCCGGCATAAACAGCCAAATGGGCGACGAACGTCAAAATAAGGGACAGCCCAATCACTACGAACTTTCGATATCGGGTTAATTGCACAGCCCATGGTAACCGTGCGGATAAACCACCAATGCCAGCGGCAATGCACAGCGGAGAATACAGCTAGTGTATTCGTGGGGGTCGTGTCTACTTGAAACCATGGGTTAGATACCGCTCAAGGGCATGCCGAGGCTGGCATTAGACAGAGATGTTCTGTTTAACATGCTTTGGATGATCGGGATAAGCCGTCCATTGCGTTGTAGATAGGCATGAGGGGGAACAGCCACATTTACACAGTATTATTTGAAGCCCACGGAGTTTTCTTGCATGTTCTACAGTCAAACCTCGCCAAGAGGGATGTCCTTGCGAGAGCGGGTAGCGGATTCAATTCGTTGTTCCGGCGCCGTTCCTGGTCGAAGGCGGTAAGTTCTCGTACCATGGTCTGGTATTCTCCCTTCCATTGGTTTTTGATGATCGCGACGCGGCTGCGGAATTGAGGAGTCAACTTGTTCCACATGTACCGAAACCATTCCGACTCGGAGACTTGTCCTGTGATAGCTGCACTTTGGAAACGAGCCTTGAACTCTGGGAAGGTTTCGCTAGCATGCCCTTTCTCTCCCATTTGCAGGTCGTCGAAGAGGTTCCTGGCCTGCTCCGTCTCGTTGCCTGTGAGGTAGTATGAACCTAGTAGATCCATCATCTCCTCAGCACTGCGGAACCCATGCGTAGCGGACAGGTATTGGGGCTCTAGGTAGGTCTTCGCCAGGCTGGTCGTAGTTCCCCATATCAACGCTCTTCTCGAGACGTCGGTAAGATAGTGGTCCTCATTGACTACGAGTCGGTCCCGAATCGAAGCGCTCCATTGTAGGAAGGTATGTTCTACCCCATCGCTGAGAGGAAGGATTTTCTCAGAGATGGTTGATTTCTTATAGCGATTCGGAGGGTCCTCGGTGTGCATTCGTGACGACCCTGGAATCGATGGAGAACGAGTGTTCCGAAGAGGCAGCAATTGAACTGTCTCGGGGGTGTTTCGTGTGCGAGGCGTTCGTTGCTCCGTGGCTTCGACTGTGGGTATGGTGGCGTCCACCGGGCGGTGTGGACAGGATTCTGGTCTGGGCTGCCGTAAGGATAACTAGTAGATCCTTGACCTCCAGTATCTGTGCTTCGAGGTGGTCCATTCGACTCGGGATGTCTTCGGATGGCCCAGCGGTCGTAGCTGCAGCGGTGGTTTGTCTGGTAGTCATTCTGGGCAGTTGACCGTCGTTGTCTTGGGGTATGTTTGATGTCGGCTTTTTCGACATATTGCCTCGGGTGTGTATCAGTACCGATACAAAGAGCTTGACTTCCGGTAGCTCGTAGCTATCAACGCTCTTGTCCACAATTTCCTCTGTGCTATGAGGGGGTTCTTAAGGATCTCGTATCCTATTTGGCGCCAACGCGTCGGCGACTTTACCAGCTTGTTCTGAAGAATCAAACCCTGATCCACTGGCTGTCCGTGAGATATCTGGAATCACGGCTATTTGAAGTCGTCAGGTCTCTCCTCTGAAACATCACCGAGTCGCAGTCGATGGTGTAACGGTAGTTCTCCTGAGTCGTTCCGGTGTGGGATATTATTTAAGTACGGCCGTCCCCGGCAGGCGTGATCTTTTTTGTATAATGTAAGGACACAGGGCACCCAGCTCACAGTAATAGCATATGAGAGTGCGAGTCGGAGGCTAAACTGATGCTATCCTATAGGTCTACTACGAAGGATACAAAAAAGATGATGGGGAACCCCGTCAGTCGATTTTCTCAAGTATCCGAAACCCATCCGACTCGGTTCCGACTCGGTTAGGCCACCCAAATGATCACACGTGACCCCGCGGCTACCCAGAGTCTACTCCCTAGAATGAGAGACGAGAAGGCATCCTTACAGGCTCTATCTCGAGGCTGTGATTATTATCACTTCCATGACGTTTCTTCCATGCAAGTTACGCGGCGAAGACGCGCCACGACTATGTGTGGATGAGACTGCATTCTGTGGCACAAAATGCCGAGATTCATGTACCGTTGGTATAGAGTTCTATGGTTGCGGTGCTGCGGATATGAGAATAGCTGACCACTAGGGACTCAATGCCTCACTCGTATGGAGACTAAAATCAGCCACGATCATCACTGAACAATGCCACCTTGTTTGCAGCAACGACACATGTACAAAACACATTCTAATACAGTCAAACCCTTGTTAAGATGATGGCATCCGTAGCAAGCATTTCCATCGTCTTATCGTATATATCGTTATATAGAGTAATATTATGTAAGCCACCTATCTAACGTAACCTGCTGCTGTGACTGTGCTCGAATAGCCTCAATGGCTGTTTGCAGCTGCTCTAGTGCCCGTATATGCCCCGTAGTAAGAGCATCCTGGCCTTCAGAATACTCAATCAGTATCTGGAGGGCATCCTGGGCCTCCTTTGCCGTAGGCGCAGGCTGCTCAGGCTGCTCCTCCTCTTCGTCATCATTTTGAGAGTTCTGATGCCCAAGTTGCCCCTCTATTATCTCCTCAAGTAGTTCTTCATCGGTAGTCTGTCCTTCCACCGCTCTAGCCTCTTCCACAGGGTTTAGAAAGTTCGAAATAGCCATTGAGTCTGTAATTGATGCTGTAGTTATCGCTTGGTTGTAGAGTTCTTGTATTCCAGTAGGCATCGTTATTGTTGGAAGGCTAATTGGATTTGAAACAAGTGTAGATTTCCGGAAGCAGTTGTATATCGTAGTGTTTGAAACTTCTGTATTCCAAGCACGAATAATCCAGCGAAGAGCGAGTCGAAGATTCATAAGTTTCTGTGGATCTTGATTTGAATCGATAGTGTCGATTATAAACTGAAGCCAATGTTGTCGATAATAAGCTTTAACATTTTGAATAATTCCTTGATCAAGAGGCTGGAAACGACTGGTACTGTTAGCTGGAAGCCAACAAATGCGGATATTAGGGGGAGGAGGGTTAAGCTCAGCCCCTGTATAGTGTGCTGAAAAGCTGTCCATTGTTAAGAGTATTTGCCGAGTAGTTCCAATATGCTGATAAAAGGCTTGAAGCCATTCGCTCATAAGTATTCCAGTCATCCAAGCCTTCTTATTCGCTTTCCATTGTGCCCCCATTGTTGGTATATTGATTCGTTGTAGTGCTCGAGGTGCTTTTGCATGGCCAATTGCCCAAACAGGGAGTCGGTCTGTTCCAGTAGCGTTGACGCAGAAAACCAAGGAGATCCGAGTCTTATTCTTCTTCACACCAGATTGGAGTTGCGATGACAGGCCTCGTGATGGCATCATCTTCCAGAAGAGTCCAGTTTCGTCCATATTGTATATATCCTCTTCTATTGTCCGTAGTGCCCTCATTTCTTCCTCGACGTTTTCCGGAACTGATGCCGCCTCTCCAAACCGCTGTCGTGATTGTATATGATGCCGCTTTTTGAATTTTTCGAGCCAGCCAGTAGAAAACGATGGGCACTCTTGGCCAGCATATTCTGGCAGTCGTTTCCAGATCTGCTGTGCCTTCTGCTGTAGTATATCGCCAGTTGTAAACCCTCCTTTTTCTTCAATCCGATTCTGCCACTCCCAAAGGATATTCTCTAGCTTTGGCCACTGGCCTAGTCGACGGCGTTGAATTCCAGTGTCTTGGTTCTTATCAAGGGCCTCAAAGTTGCTACTTAGTGATTCAGAAATAGTCGACTGGCTTAACTTGTGATGATATTGTCTTTCAAACCATTCGATACACTGCTGCAGAGTTGGCTTTGGAACTTGTTGGTGGGCCCAGTGTCGAAGGGCACGCCGCTGGTCGACTGTAATCGGCCTTTTTCGAGGCATTTTGGGTGTCTAATGGCCACGTTAAGACGATGAACAGGTTGGAAAAGACGATGATCGTTGAATCGTATTTTGTATGGTAAAAGTATCGGTCCGTGGAAAAATATCGCACAAAAGAGGTTATCGGCTAAAAGTGGATCGTCTACATCCACACGTACCACGGATACGGCAAAGGCGTCATCAGTGTCGAAGCCGACTCGAACCACATCCGCTCTGTTCACCCGAACCGTGTTCCTCCCCAAGCCAGCCATACCGGAACGTCTGAGAACCGCAGTCCCTATTTCAAGTGTGGCAAGCCCGGCCATTTCCAGGACAAATGCCCCCTTAACGCTACTATCAAGGAAATGGACCGTAACGACCCCGAGGCAGAAGAACAATGGGAAGAAGCTGTGGAACTTCAATCGGATGCGTCCCTCCGAGGAAAACGACGAGGCCTAGGAGAAGGCTCCTTCCTAGGTCTACGCAAATGCGACCTGCGAGGACTAGACTTACGAGAACTCCTGGGAGGCACCCAGTTCTTAGTCGACATGACCCTGAGTATGAATGGACTCGGGGTGCAAACGAAGTCCCTAGCAGACACAGGAGCAAATGGCTACCTCATCATTAACAAGCCTTTCGCAATACGACTGTCGAAAGCGCTT